TACAATCAAGCAGTGTATAAATTTTAGGTAAAGGTAAAGGAACCCCTGACCATTAGGTCCAGTCGTGGCCAACTCTGGGGTTGCGGCGCTCATCTCGCTTTACTGGCCCAGGGAGCTGGCGTACAGCCTCCGAGTCATGTGGCCAGCATGACTAAGCTGCTTCTGGCGAACCAGAGCAGCGCATGGAAACCCCGTTTACCTTCCCACTGGAGCGGTACCTATTTATCTACTTGCACTCTGACGTGCTTTCGAACTGCTAGGTTGGCAGGAGCAGGGACCGAGCAACGGGAGCTCACCCCGTTGCAGGGATTCGAACCGCCGACCTTCTGATCAGCAAGCCCTAGGCTCTGTGGTTTAACCCACAGCGCCACCCGGAAACAATAAAACAACAAATAGGAGAGCAGCTTTCTTGTATTGTTGTCTATGACAGATTTCCAAATGTGAATGTAGGTCCAAAGAATAAGGGTATTTTTGGGTCTAGTCAAGAAGTTAGGACAGGGAAGTTAAGAGAGCTGGGAATTGTGTGCATGTGTGAACTGGTGGTCGGGCGGGAAGTTATAGTTCATTGAGATTAGTGCAGTGAATTTATATATATGTTACTCAGTCCCTTTGAGTTAATGGGATCTGCTTGTAAAATAAATGAAACATCCCAGTACCATTGTAAAGTTGAGGGGGTGGTAGGAGCAAACTGACAACTGAAGTAAGGATGAGCCTTTCAGAAGGAAGGGAGTCATGTCTGAACATATGCACAACTCAGGTAAGTTATGTGTCTGTGTCTGTTTCTCAGACTCATTCAACAGGGTGGAAATATTGTAGGGCTATTTTATCACTACTGGAGCAGAGCTAGCCTGAACACCAGCTAGTGCCACAAAGTGTAAATAGAAGGTGGGAGAATCTTGTGGGGTTTTTTTAGCCAATCCAGACACACAGAGAGAGCAGGAAATCCTGACAAGGGGAATACTTTTGTCCATTATTGATCCTGGCTCCTACCTTTGGAAGATGGCTCCCAGTTCTGGACCAGATTTGTCTATGCCTGTAAATTATATATAATGGGATTTAAATTCCTCCCCCCTTAGAAAATGATAGGTTATGTCTGGCAGCATCATAGCTGTCAACTTACAGATTTGAAAATAAGGGATCAGCAGCCAAAATAAGGGATTTTAGACAACCAGCTGAAATACAAAGTTAAAAGGGACCAGATAATTTTGGAGAGCAGCGCCGGTTTTTAGCCTTTCGTTTCCAGAGGTTGCTGCTCAAGACACCAGCTGATGAAACACTGCAATTAAATAACTACAAGCAGCAACCACTTTTCGTGCAAAACGAAGTCCAAGCTACGAAGATGCTGCTGCAGTTCTGTATCTTTTCTCTCGTGCTCCATCTGCAGCTCTCAGTTCCATCAGGCGGGGCGGGAGGAGGGGGGGGGGAAATAGTGCCTGAAGTAAACCTGTAGATCAGACCATCTATGCTAGTCTACCACCACAAATCTATGGGAGAAGCGCTTGCGGTCCTTCCTCAGCTTTCCCCCTCTATGGTTAGCCCTTGGAACACCTGCCCGCGCCTGTGCCTCTGCCTCCGCCTCCTCTCTCTGAACTGCTTTCTCTATGGTTGCCCTCGCTCTCCTCTCAAGGCTCCTCATCAATTCATAGGCCGTGCCAGGCTGCCCATCTCATTTGGGTCCTTTGGCGGCGCAACCGCAGTACAGCCTAGCAGGAGCGGCGGTGATGGGCAGAGGGGAGGCCCCAGGCAGAGACGCTCAGTTTGGCGGCCGTGAGGACGATGGCGGCGGAAGGGCCCGAGGCTCCTGCCAGTCCCGGTGGGGAGGGGCTCCTGGGGGCCGAGGCTGGTGAGAGGAGGCTGGAGGGGGGCGGGCCGGGCAGCCAAGCAACACAGTTGGAACCTCCCTCCTCCCTGGCTGGCAGGGATGGAGGGAGGGGAGCTGCTTCCTTTGAAATCCAGGAAATTTAAGGGACATCATCAATAAGGGACAGCAGCAGGACACGGCGCTGGGATAAGGGAGTTTCCCACCAAATAAAGGACAGTTGACAGCTATGGGCAGCATCGACCTCACTATGTGGGAATACCTTGCAGACGACCGCAGTGCCTAGAGACAGCCAGCCAGGACGTTTATCCACAGCCTTGACCAAGGTAGGAATGACTTCTGGGAGGAGTGCAGAGAGAAGAAATGCCATGGTGCAGCTGCAGTAGCACAACCAGAAACCTTCATCTGCCCTAGCTGCAACAAAACATGTCTCTCCCTTATTGATCTTTATAGCCACAGCAGACGTTGCAACCTTCCAACAGTTCAACTCATCCCTCCATTGTCTCCCGAGACAGATGGATGCCAACCAATGTGTTTAGTGGTTTAAACATTTTTGTCAGGCTCAGTCTAGACCAAAGCCTTGTGCAACTTCACACTGAAGCGCTGCAAATGTAACTATACTTGTATTAACTGTTACGTACTGAAGTTTTCACCCTGTAGATAGTTTTCACTCAGGTCCACATATGCAAATAAGGAATTGAAAGTGACGTTCAGTGATTGGATAGTTACAGAAAGTGGTTACTGTTGCATTGTAGTAGAGCTCTATATAAGCAGGTTGGCTGAACCCTTCAGCCCAGTTCTGTTCTGGCCTGTGAATAAACAAGAGCTGCTTGAAGAATCGCTGTGTTGTCTGATATGTTCACCCACAAGTTAACATTAATTGCAGGTGCACTTGCTATAGCCAAACACTAGAAGACAGCAGACCCGAAGCAGTTCTGGCAGCAGCGACACTAGAACTTGTCCTTGGTGCAAGAGTGCAAAACAAACCATGATCCTGGGTTTGGATGCTGTGCTGAACTGGCTTCCTCGTGGTTCATTTACCTGCTCAGGTGAAGGTGGGTTGAAGTGGGAGGGCTTGGGCTGTGGGCATCGATATGCAACTCGTACACAGGGCAGGCTTGCCTGGGGATGTTGAAACCTCTTTGCTCCAGGGCAGGATTTGCTTTTGTCTTCTTTGCCAACACAAGGTGTTCTAAGGATAATTGGCATCCTTGCCAAATGGCTGTTATGAAATGAGGCCGGATTGAGCAAGGATCGCCAACGCTCTCAGGTATTCATGGGACCCCATTAATTAAGTATCTCAGCCACAGGGGGAATACAGTGGTACCTCGGGTTACATATGATTCAGGTTACATACGCTTCAGGTTACAGACTCCGCTAACCCAGAAATATTGCTTCAGGTTAAGAACTTTGCTTCAGGATGAGAACAGAAATAGTGCTCCATTAATGAAGCTCCATTAGCTAAAGTTAGCTTCAGGTTAAGAACAGTTTCAGGTTAAGTACGGACCTCCGGAACGAATTAAGTACTTAACCCGAGGTACCACTGTATTGTGAACAACGAACGGGTGAGACACATCAAAGGATTTTCCCTCCCAAAATTAATAATGGGGAAGTGAATCAGCTTAATCTCGCGACCTTATTCTCCTTTTGAGATTCTGCATCGTTCAAAGATTCTAAATATCATCACCATCATTATTAATGCATTTGTATCCTATCTGGCTTCTGAAAAGCAAGGTGGAAGCATTCATGAGGTCCCCAGGCACTCTTTTATCCAGACGTTGGCCAAATCCAGACCTGCTGTTTCGTTCCAGACAGCTGGCTGCATTATACATCCTTGGATTGTGAAGTACTCTAATAAATTTCACGATTTCCACCGAGCGACTTGGAAATAGCGAAGGTGGCATTGCTTTGTGAATTCTTTGCAGGGCTGGGGCCTTGGAAGTAGCTCCACAATGTTGCTGACCTGAACCTGACCCATAAGTGACTAGAGGCTAATATACCTGACCAGAGTAATGAGGGCAGCTGTTTGTCTGGGTTTAGCATCTTTCCAGCAACAGTATATGGGTTCTCTCGAAGAATGATCTTTGGGCTCAAGCTCAAGCTACATTAGTAAAAGAAAAAGAAGTTATAAATGTGTTTTAACACCAGGTGGTGGTGTAGAGCTGAAATAAGAACGCTATGAAATTTTCCATTGCGAGCTTTAAAATGGTTTTCTCTAGAGCATTTTTTTAAAAAAAAAGAGCTGTGTAGATGCAGCCTCTCTTTCTGCCTCGCACACACACAAACAGAAAGGGAATTAGACAAAGGCTGCTTTTACACCACACATTGAAAGCCACTTTCCGAGCACAATTCAAAGTGTTGGTGCTGACCTTTAAAGCCCTAAACGGCCTCGGTCCAGAATACCTGAAGGAGCATCTCCACCCCCATCGTTCTGTCCGGACACTGAAGTCCAGTGCCGAGGGCCTTCCGGCAGTTCCCTCGCTGCAAGAAGCCAAGTTACAGGGAGCCAGGCAGAGGGTCTTCTTGGTAGTGGCACCCGCCCTGTGGAACGCCCTCCCAATAGATGTCAAAGAGAAAAACAACTACCAGACTTTTAGAAGGCATCTGAAGGCAGCCCTGTTTAGGGAAGCTTTTAATGTTTAATAGACTATTATATTTTAATATTCTGTTGGAAGCCGCCCAGAGTGGCTGGGGAATAAATAACAACAACAACTTTAAAAATTTGTGGCTTTTCCGCACAGAATTCTGGGAGCTGTAGTTTGTTAAGCTGCCCTTGGTTAGAGTTGGTTAGAAGCCCCTCTTTCCCTCACAGAGGCTACAGTTCTCAGATTTCCTCTTGAAGATGCATTGATTGATTACACTCCGGTAATTGTAGCTCTGTGAGGGGCACAGCGGCCCTGCTGCATAGAAACTAGCCAACTATTTGAAGATAAAAGCTACATTTTTGCTCTGTCCACTTTCTTCTCTGATTGTGTCCACCGCCAGCAGAACATTGCCCAGAAAGGAATGTGGTTCCTGGTCTCCTTCTCTATGCTTTCTTTCTTCCTAGATGGGTCCTGGGAGGGAGATCCCAGTGTGCAACTCTTAATTAAAAGGAGGTCACCTGGGGGGAAGACCACAAAAGTTGAAGCACCTGCCTTGATTAAGCCTGAAGTTGTAGATTTAAAAGATCACCCATTCCTTAGAAAAACGAAATCAGTTTATTTTGGTAGCCGGCTGTTTTCATTCATAGAATATCTAGCAAAATATACAATTACTCATCAATTCAGGTTTTGTTCTGGTTTTTTTCTTGATAAAATGTTCTCTCCCCAAGAAAGCAATGGTGGCAGTTAAGTTGTTAATATGAACATGTGCAATAATATACATGCAGCAGGTGCACAGATATCACTATGTTTATATAGCACAGTATACCTAAGTAGGTACAGAATGAGTTTCTTTGGGGTAAAAATAAGAATATGTGCTTTCGAGGAAAAGTAACAGACATTTTGGGAAGCACAATTTCCGGTACCTCTGCATAGGCTGAATTATGACTCATATAGTACAAGATCACTAGGAGCTGTTAAAACACTACCCAAGAAAGATCTCTGCATAGCATTCAGACGTGGTGCCCCTGGCTTGTTCTAGAACATTTGGAATGGCGAGCCCCAGTGTTTACACACACAAATTCCTAATATCTACCAGGAGGTTGTATTATGGATTAATTGGTCCCAAGCCAAGCCTTCCTGTGTGAAGGCACTTTGAGGCTCTCTTTGAACCAACTTCTCATTACTATTCTAAATTTTTCCGTGGGGGAAATATTTCTCAACTTTTGTTTCTTGCTTTAAGAAGAATTCCCCACCCAATTCACGTTGTACCACTGAGGGGGAAAGGAACTACGATCTGACAGCTGGAAGGGACCTACTTTTTTAAAACAAAGAAATAAAGATAAGGGAATTACTTTTATGTGCAATAGAACTGCTCCTTCTTCATGCAGTGCAGTTAAGCCATGAAGCTCCCTCACACGGGAGTCAGCAACAGCCACTAACTCAGAAGCTTTTAAAAGAGGATCCAGCAGATTCGTGGTGAAGGCTACAAGCCACAATAGCTATCTGTCTCCACGGTCTGAGGCAGTACGGCTCCTGAAAGTCTGTGGCGGGGAAACCACGGGAGAGGAGAGCGCTCTTGAACTCGGGTCCTGCCTAAGGCATCTGATTGGCCACTGTGAGAACAGGGTGCTGGACTAGTTAGGGCAGGCATGGCCAAACTTGGCCCTCCAGCTGTTTGGGGACTACAACTCCCATCATCCCTAGCTAACAGGACCAATGGTCAGGGATGATGGGAATTGTAGTCCCCAAACAGCTGGAGGGCCAAGTTTGGCCATGCCTGAGTTAGGCCATTGACCTGAGTCCACACACAAGCCTCTGTGTGGCCCCATCACCCTCTCTATGCAGCTGATGTGATTCTTATTAGGCCACCACTTCCCGTCTCTCTGAGACCGCCATTTTCTTCCTCCATATACTGAAAGCAACGCATTTGTAGGCATGGTTTCTTATTCCTTCCACACAGCTCCTAAAGGCCCCTTCTGGAATACGATCCTTGCTCCCCATGTCAGAGCACGAGGGTTGAGAAGTTTTTGCATCCGACCGCATGATATAACCCGGGCCTCCTCTTTCCGTAGTAACATGTTAAGTTGCAGGAAGAAACGCGAGTGCTATTTTACGACTGAATCTAAGAGACGACCAATACGTCCTCATAGACACAAAGAGACACCACATCCGCCCCCCTGCCCCATCTCAGTGGTGCAATACATAGGAGGCTTGCCTTATCGTGAGTCAGACCATTGGCTTGTCACTCAGTACTGTCTACACAGGCCAGCCGTGGCTTTCTGAGGTTTCAAGTGGGGGTTTTGACCTGGGAGCCTTTCACGAACTTCAAGTGAAGTACAGAAACTCACACGCTTATTGACATGGTTGCGTTTTCTGGGTGGGTGTTGCTTCGACACAGCAGAAAGTGACAAAAGCGTAGCTGAGTGAGCTCTAGCGGTTAGCTGGCGCTGATAGCCTCTTCCCTTTTTCGTTTCTTTTGTTTTTTGCCCCCCTTCTCTGGTTTTCCAACAAGCTACTCCAAAGATTAGCTCGACTGAACATGAAATTTATTACAACCATTAGTTTCTGCTGCTGAGCGTCTTGAAGCCCTGGCATTGATATGGCGGCCTAGTCTTCATAGACCATCGCCCACACGTTGCATCTCCAAGGTTTAAGCCCAGAGCTAACAAGGGATGGAATAGGGCATCAACATTGCCTGTTTACTCGAGAGGAAGGCTCAGGCCATTATTATTACTCCCCACCCAAGCGCTTCTACTAGCATAGCATCACAAACTTTCCCAGCCCCCCCCACACCGATGTTATTCCTTCCTAGATGTACAGCAAAAGCCCATGTTTGGGAGTTTCTACCGGAGCAAGCGTTAATAAACAGTAAGCAGCCCCAAAGACGTAACTGTGAATGTCCACCATATAAGAAGATGTCAGCATGTAGGTATTCAAGTGAGCAGAGAAGGTCTTCCTCTTCCATTCTGGTCTCAGCTGCTCCCATCTGCTAGGCGACCTTCTCCGCCCCAGTTAGTGTTGATGTCCTCCTCAGGTTCTCTTTTACTTTAATAAACTCTGGCGCGTTTTCTTCTTGCTTCTCTTGCTCCCTCTCCAACTGATGGGAGAAGAAAGGAAGGATATATACGTGAATAAACTGTGTATGTGTTTGTGTGTTGAGAGAGGGGGGGAGGGGAGGGAGACCTCAGGCTGGGATGTGGAAATGCGGCTCTCCGTGTCTCTCCATCAGGCCCCCAGCACTCTCTCTCTTATTATCTATTTAAAGATATTTTAATCCCACTCTTCATCCAAAAAAGATTTGCAGAGCAGCATACCTTAAAAAACAGAGACATCACCTTGCCGACAAAGGTCCGTATAGTTAAAGCTATGGTTTTCCCAGTAGTGAGGTATGGAAGTGAGAGCTGGGCCATAAAGAAGGCTGATCGCCGAAGAATGGATGCTTTTCAATTATGGTGCTGGAGGAGACTCTTGAGAGTCCCATGGACTGCAAGAAGATCAAACGCATCCATTCTTAAGGAAATCAGCCCTGAGTGCTCACTGGAAGGACAGATCCTGATGGTGGGAAAGATGGAGGGCACAAGGAGAAGGGGACGACAGAGGACGAGACGGTTGGACAGTGTTCTCGAAGCTACCAACATGAGTTTGACCAAACTGCGGGAGGCAGCGGAAGACAGGAGTGCCTGGTGTGCTCTGGTCCATGGGGTCACTGTACAAGCAGGCTACATTCCAGTCGGAGGTTTCTACAAACAGGAGGTTCATTGGTGGGGAGTGGGGGATGGCTTTGCAGGGGTGGCCCTCCTTGCCACCCTATGCCAAAATAATCCCCTTCTCTGGTTTGAGAAAGACAGGATGTAGAATGGGAAGGAAGGCTGATTAGCAGCACGAACCTCCTTGGAATGTTGCCACACTTCTAGCGGGGGAAACATAGGAAGTCTCCTTATACGGAATCAGACCCATTGGTCCACCTTGCTTAGTACTGTATACGCTCACTGGCAGACCCTCTCCAGCCTAGGGGTCAGACTAGGGTCTCTCTCTGCCCTACCTGGAGATGCCAGGGACTGACCATTGGACCTTCTGCAAGTATAGCAGATGCTGTACCGCTAAGGTACGGGGAGAATGCATTTTGATCTCCTCCCATTGAAAGTCCTCCCATTGAAAGTCCTACACTCCCCCCGCCTTTTTCTAATGAAAGGCAGCTGCTAAAAGCTTTAAGTGGAGGGAAAAAAGGGATGCTCCGATCATGTATTTTGCCTGTCTAGCAAATAGCTTTAATCGCAAATAAGCCAGAATAATTAGGAAATTGCTGAAATCAGGTTGAGTTGAGACAATAGTAATTAATAATCATAATAATCAGGAGGCTTTAAAATAAAAGAAAAGGAGTTAAGCACTCTTAATTAAATGCTTGAGGAGGAGAGTATTTCGTTTAAATTGTATTGGGGTATGTGTTTTTTTTTAAAAAAAACAAAAAATAAAAGAGCTTAATTACAGCAGATTTCCAGCTAAGCTCACGCTACGCGTTTTCCAAGCCATGGAACATCCACTAAGCGATGTCTGCAATTACCAGCTAGCGTGAGAGAAGGGAGCAGCCTGTGCTAATGAAAACAAGAAGGATGAACATGGCAACATGTTGATAATTGTGCCTTCAAGAGATGTGTGCGGCGCTCTGCCGAAAATTTAATTAAGATCTCTATCCGGTAAGAGTGCAACGCGCAATGTTTTGGTTGCCTTCCCTGTTTCGCCAGGCTGGTTTAAAAATTTTGAAATCCTGAACTGGTGTTTACAAGCTTAGAGCTCTCAGTGACTTCAAGGGGATTGAAGGGCTTGTGAGTGGTGTTAAAATCTGGGGATTAAAGCCAGGATAGAAAAGCAGCTGCTCTGCTGCTGGGGCAGGAGGCTTAGGCAGCCTGGTGGCTGCAATCCCATTACAGACGGCAGAACCTGGATCGAAAGGGTTTAGCCAGATCATCAGGTGAAAGCTTGAGGCATATTCCTGTGAGTCCTGAGCAAAGGTAAATTGCACGATGTCAAGTCAAGGACTGGGGAGTAGGGGTTTGGCCCTTTGCCAATGAAGGCCAGTTGCTCCAGTGAACGGGCCCCCTGCCACACCAACCCCAGACTGCCCTCTCTGTCAGTCTTCTTACTTACAAAGTAACAGAGGGCATGACCTTTCTGCTTCCTCCTGCTTAGTCTCAGCAAAGGCACAAAACTAGAATTAGCTGGGTCCGCTTGCCATTGGCTCCGACAACAAGATTTGCAGACTGAACTTCGCAGGTGATAACACTGATCTTCCCATGCCATGAAAAGTGTCACCTGGCAAACTCATTGGTTGTTATCCTACTGTTGGTTGGGAGTCTGGGCTGCTCCCCTTGCTTTTGCAAAAGGGGCTGGCGTGCATCCCAGCATAACAACAAGGCAAAGAGCTGAGTGCTGGGTGCTTGTTTAAGAATAAAAATGGATTCGATTGGTGGCAAAACACAGTTCAATCTTGGCAGCCCGTTCAGTTAAAGTGTAGGGTAGGGAGCATACAAAGGAGCCACCTTAAGCTCCTTGGAGGAAAAAGTGGGGTACAAATATAATAATAAAGCCAATAAAAATTAACAATAATAGTAATAATAGTAATAGTAATAGTAATAATAATAATAATAATAATAATAATAATAATAGTAATAATAGTAATAATAATTTATTATTTATTATTTATACCCCACCCATCTGGCTGGGTTTCCCCAGCCACTCTGGGCGGCTTCCAACCAAACATTAAAAACAATACAGTAAAATTGTTGTTTATTGCCTTGACATCTGCTGGGAGGGCGTTCCACAGGGCAGGTGCCACTACCGAGAAGGCCCTCTGCCTGGTTCCCTGTAACCTCACTTCTCTGATCTAATTCTGCGGTTCCCAATCTGGGTGGTATAAGCCTCCAGGGGGCAGGCAGTGGGATTAGGAAGTGGGGTGCTAAGAATCAAAGGCATGGCAGGGGGGCACTGGAGGTGCAAATGACTGAATCATCCATTTTTGTTGAATCAGTTAAACTAAATCGTTTTAAGTGGATACTGCATAAATTCTCACATATTTGTTACTGATTTAAATTCTTATTGTGTAAGCCTTTTCCTGAGCGGGTCATGCAGACTGCTGTTCTGAATAGCACTTCTTGTAGGGTTGGGGCCACTGGGGATGAGTTTATGGAACAAAGGGGGTGGTGGACCAAACATGTTCGGGAGCCACCGATCTAATCGATCGTTTGATGAGTGGGGAGGGAGACATGGGTTGGCTGCGTGCCTCTGCGTGTCTTGTGTGGGCATGCATGTGAGACGGTGACATGGTCGCGCCCACTTTTGGCCACACCCAATGCTGGCCTGGGGTGCCCAGAGGGATGGCTAAGGGTGGAAACAGCCCTCTGGTCACAAAACATTAGTTGCTGATGGTTTACCTGCTCTGGTATGAAGCTCAACAGCAGCACTTGCGCATAAAAACCCACAGATCCTTCACCTAACCTACCAATGCAGAGTTGTTTGTGAAAAGACTGAAGAGCGCCATGTGATTGTTTAGAGTAAGTACGGGGTGGATTTCTCTGCACTTCTGATGTGGTTTATTGCAACAAGATTTCAGAACTGCGTCCTACCTGATCCAGCTTCTGTTGCCTCTTCAGGAGCTCTTGCTCGAAGGGAGATTTCAACTTCTTCGCCTCTTCCTCTTCTTTCCTCTGCCTGATCAGCTGGTTCCGCCGCCGATGCTCCAGAACTCGCTGCAGTTCTGGTTTGCTCTCGACTCCCAAGCCTCTGTGAAACGAGGAGGGAAAAGGGGCAGGTTAATTAAGGCTGAGCTGCCAAGTGCAAATGGTTGTATCCTGCGGGGAAACAAACAGGGCAACCCTGCTCAAAAGTAATCCCCAGAATTCAATGGTGCTTATTACAAGAAAAGTGGGCAAAGCATTGCATCCTTCTGTTGCAATCCTATACATGTCTACTGCTAAGAAGGACATCCCATTGAGTTCAATGGGACTTACTCCCAGATAGGTGTGTAAAGGACTGTCTTTTGAAAAACTACTTAGGTATAATGATTATGTACAAAGGTGCCCCAGCTATGGAATCATTTCCATAAAGAGAGTCACCTGATGCCCACATTGCTACCCTTCAGGTGCTGCACAAACATTTTTATTTACCCAGAAATTTAAGAAAACATTTCTTCCCTTTGCTGATTATGCAGCTGTCTCCAACCTGCTACTTTAGTTCAGTTCTGTGTTTTATTATATTTTTTTCTTTTCTGCAGAACGCGGTCTGAAATCGAAGATGATGAGAGGCGACTTATCTATCTGTGTCTTAGAATTTCAACAGGTGTTGCTTAAAGGTGCTACAAAAACCTGTCCTTTTTACAATTTGGCCACCCTAAAAAAAAAGAGGGGGGAGGAATGGTAGCGGGTTAGTGGTGTGGTCAGCCATGTGCTGTGCCTTCCTCTCAGCCAAGGATATGAGAGGAGGTGTCAGGTGGAGTCTTCCTGAGTAACCAATTCAGGCTGACTGGGCACAGGAACAGTTCCATTGGCCAGAAAGAAAGTGATGGGAATTTGTGGTTGCTGGCAGGGCCGGGGGTTAGGACAGAAGGTACCATTTCCCCACCAAGTGGAATAAGCAGGAGCCCCTACCTCCAAGACAAAGGAGGGCTGGCTTGCCACTTTTTAGAGTAAGCAAGGCAATGCACATGGCCATCTAAAGGGCATTCCCCAACCCCATAAGACTGCTAAGTTCAGAGTCTAAAAATGACCCAACTGCAGCATGGATGGGAAGGGGAAGGAGACTCTGTGCTGGCCACCAGGCAAGGGCTTTTCCCACTTGCCTTGCCCCACCCTCCAGCCTTCGGAGCCCTCAGAGATTTCAGAAGGAGGTTGCTACCGTGACCATAATGTGAATCTGCTTTTTGATGAACTGAGTAGAAGACTATGAGTCATGGGGAGGTGGGGGGGGGGGAGAGAGAGTGTGTGAATTCAACACTGCTTAGTTTGTTTTTTGCTTGTTTGTTTGTTAATATTGTTGTTAATACAGTGGCACCTCGGGTTACAGACGCTTCAGGTTACAGATGCTTCAGGTTACAGACTCCGCTAACCCAGAAATAGTACCTCGGGTTAAGAACTTTACCTCAGGATGAGAACAGAAACCACATGACGGCGGCACGGCAGCAGCGGTAGGCCCCATTAGCTAAAGTGGTGCTTCAGGTTAAGAACAGTTTCAGGTTAAGAACAGACCTCCAGAACGAATTAAGTTCTTAACCAGAGGTACCACTGTACTGTTTTGTGGATTGTAAGCACTTTGTGAACTTTATAATATGACTTTTCTCGTGGTTGGGCTGTTATCTATTTTTTTAACGTTGTTTTGTTAATGTTTTATAGGAGGTGGTCACTTTATTGATGACTTGGCAATTTGTATATCATCTGTGTTGCAACTGCGATGTTCTGCTATGTTGTTATTTATCGTATGTAAGCCGCTTTGTGACTAATGAGAGTAAAAAGCGGCATAGAAATATAAGAAATGAATGAATGGGAAAAGGAAAGTTACAGACTCCTGGAGGTCCCACTTCATGACAATGGAAAATATTTGAGAATATTTGATCAGTGAGGCAACTTTATGTATGACAAATCATGCATCAGCGCAAAAGCTTTATCCAAAATTATCCCCTGCCCCGCTACTCTCTGTGATCAACTGGGTGTACCCTTAAAATTGTATGGAAAAAGTGTAAAAAGAAATGTTTTAATTAAGCATGACATTTCCAAGTTTGACCAACTTAAAAAAATAATAATAAATCTCAGCCACTTTACCATCTACCAGCAGAGGGAGTAATTCAACCAATAATCTTACACCAGAATACCTCTGGCAGTTTTTGCTGCAAATAGTTCCTGCACAAATTGATCTGCTCTTAAGTTCAGTAATGTAAGCAGTGGCCACTGCCCTTCATACTGACTTGAGCAAAGTTGGGTCAGGATTCAATGGCTGTTAATGTGGCATAAGAGTGCTATAACTGCATGGTGCGGACTTAGTCAGTGTGGTGTGTTTGAATGGTTTTTTTGCTCTAATGCTACTGTTTACATTCTTTGACCTTTTGGTCACCCTGCTCAGATGACGTCCCTTGAAGCTTATCAAGATCTTGACTGTTTTTAACAACAACAACAACAAACATCAAATGAACTGGTAGAGAGCTTGGAGAACATGGTCAATCATGTCTGGACTGGAGGGACCAATGGTCTCTCTGTATAAGGCAACATCTGCACCCTATAGTCGTGCCTCCTCCCCGCTCCACAACTAACCCTGGGGATTGTGGTTTGTTACCTAGGAAGATGAGTTGACTGTTAAACCACTGCAACTCTGTGAGGCAAACAGGCAAACTCACAGCACCCTTAACAAATGACAGATGCCAGGATTCTTCGGAGAAAGCCCTGACTGGATAAAGAGGTATGATACGGTTTTTAAAGTATAGTGTAGATGGGATTCTTAGAGAGGCCCCCTTCTATGTCCAAGCTTGTGAAATAAATATATACAGTGGTACCTTGGTTTTCAAACACCTTGGTTCTCAAACACCAAAAGCCCGGAAGTGTTCCGGTTTTCAAAAGTTTTTGGAAGCTGAACGTCCGATGCGGCTGTTGTTTCCAGGGCACCTGCACCAATCAGAAGCTGAGCCTTGGTTTTTGAACATTTTGGATGTCAAACGGACTTCCGGAACGGATTAAGTTTGGTGCTTTTGTTTTTGCTATTTATTTTGCGTTTTTGTTTTTGAGGCTTTTCTGGTTAATTTGTTTTTGTGACTGTGTGGAACCCAGTTCAGCTACCGTTTGATTGATTGTGTGTCTGTGGAAATGGATAAAAAAACCCCATACAAACAATGACTATCATCAGTACAGGCAAGGGAAAAAAACCTGTAATTTTTATCATCTACAATACTATCTTACTTATTTTATAGTACAGCACATTGATTATTGCTTTCATTTTATGGATCAATGGTCTCGTTAGATAGTAAAATTCATGTTAAATTGCTGTTTTAGGGGTTGTTTTTAAAAGTCTGGAACGGATTAATCCATTTTGCATTACTTTCTATGGGAAAGCGTGCCTTGGTTTTGGAACGCTTTGGTTTTGGAACGGACTTCCGGAACGGATTAAGTTTGAGAACCAAGGTACCACTGTACAGCTAAAAGCAAGTGCTGAAGACCCACAGAAGAGGAGAGCAAAAATCTGCTCCTAAGTAGAGGGCACTCAATAACTTGCCTTGGATTTTCAACCTGGAGATAGGAATCAGATTCCTTCAGATCTGCAGATTCCTTCAGATCTGGTATGTTGCCTGCTGAGGCAACTGCAGATCTCCAAGATCTCTGCTGTATTTAGATGGGCACTGAGACCGTTTCGAAGATGTTGCGACAATTAAACTGGTATTCAAACCAATACGCCTCCAGCGCAGGTAGGTATTAAGACTGTGAAGATGATGAATTCTGTGCCAGATCCTAATCTTATCAGATGGAAGCAGGCAGGATACACACAGCATGGAATAAAAGGAGCTCCACGCTCCACAGGTAAGCATGCTGGTTGTTAGCTGCTATCATTATAATCTGGGTTTGGGGGCTGTCTTAAATCTACAGAGGAACATAGGAAGCTGCCTTAAACTGAGCCAGGCCATTGGTCCATCATCTACAGGGCTGTCTTAAGTATATGCGGTGCCGGGGTGCAAAGATCCGCCTGGTGCCCCTCCCCAGGTTCCCCAGTCGCAGGCATGCAGGAGGGAGGAGCTGGCCGGCCGCCTCAGCATCTCGCTGGCTCGGTCACCCCCAAACTCGTGGTGCAGAGTTTGAGCCCACCGCGGTGCCCCAACCGACGGGCAGGCTCTTCCCCGGACTCAACTTTTGGGCCCTGGACTCTCAGCCTGGTGCCCCTGAGACATAGCTGTCAACCGTCCCTTATTTGGCGGGAAAGTCCCTTATCCCAGCGCCATGTCCCGCTGCTGTCCCTTATTGATGATGTCCCTTAAATTTCCTGGGTTTCAAAGGAAGCAGCTCCTCTCCCTCCCTCCCTGCGGCCAGGGAGGCTCCAACTGTGTTGCTTGGTTGCGTTGCTCACCCAATAAGGAGTCTAAGAACGACTGGAGGGTGGTGGAGCTTGCATGCCTTGTGCCAATCAAATCGGCCGCATTGCCTGGGGACTCGCCTTTGCTCAGCGCTTCCCAGCGGAGAGGTGACGGTGGTTTTCCTTGCTGCATCCCCTTTGCTGGGTTGCTGCGCTGTGGGAACCACCGCTTGAGGCTTCGTTTGGCTGCTGGCTGGGCTTTCTGCCTTTGGCTTGGAGGGGCTCAGAAGTTGAACATACCTGTGCTTGGAAAATCCCTTATTTTGGCTGCTGATCCCTTAATTTCAAGGTTGCTGGTCCCTTATTTTCAAATCTGTAAGTTGACAGCTATGCCCTGAGAGCCCGGTGCCCCGGTGCCCAGCACCCCTAGTGCCTATGGGTAAGACGGTCCTGATCATTTAGCTCAATACTGCCTACATTGACTGGCAGAAGCTCTCCAGAGTTTTAGGCAGGAATGTCAGGGACTGAACCAGGAATCTTCTGCATTCAAAGCAGACCCACTACCTCTGAGCTACAGCTCTTTTCTAGCCACCCACCACAAATGATTGTTCTTGTTCTAAGCCAGCTAGGGAGGGTGTTGTTGTTTTTTTGCCCTGAAAGGTTGAATACAAATTTATAAATGGACGAATGCATGAATAAATACATATGCTAATTATCCAATCTGAACAGCTCACTCCATAGCCTAACTGCCCCCTGCCTGCACTTTTCCAACAAGATTCATGCTTCATAAAACAAACAATGCTAGCGGATGTGGCTTGGAAGCGGACAGGATATTTACCAGCTCTTCTGCTTCCTTTTATCTAGGAGGACCTTTGCAAGCAACCCTGTCTTCCTTTCATCTATAAATATATGTACCTCTTCGGAGAGTTTTGGGGAAATCTCGGGCGGGAGCTGACGTTCTTCTGGCTCTATTGACGCTGCAAGAACCCAAGGCGAGATTATGAAACGTGACCTGAATTGTGTGCAGGCTTCTCTGGTGTAGGAGTGCATGTCCACTCAGACTTTGTGATTTTAAATAATGATTTATTTATTTTTTTAAGAGAAACAAAAGAGCTGTGGACATTGTAGTGCATTGAACCAGCAGGTGAATGTTAAAAGGGGGAAAAAGAAAGAGTAAGGATGGATGAATTTTAAAAGGAAAGGCCCACCTGTGCTAATTGGAATAGTTATGGAGACATTCACATTGATTCCAGGGCTAGAATTCCAGAATCTGGCATGGATTATCAGAATCCTGGCAGGTGCATCTATTTCCCCATCTTGCTCCATGACTAGCAAGGGCAGACCAGGGTCTGTGGAGGAGCCACTTGCTACCTGATCCTTTAAAGCGGGGGCGCCAGGGAATTTCTTCATATAAACATTATAAAGCACATGCCCTACTGCTCAGCTATGGTCTACTACCCTAATTGCTCCCAATATACCTGAAGGAGCGTCTCCACCCCCATTGTTCTGCCCGGACGCTGAGGTCCAGCGCCGAGGGCCTTCTGGCAGTTCCCTCACTGTGAGAAGCAAAGCTACAGGGAAGCAGGCAGAGGGCCTTCTCGGTAGTGGCACCTGCCCTGTAGAACACCCTCCCATCAGATGTCAAAGAGACAAACAACTACCTGACATTTAGAAGACATCTGAAGGCAGCCCTCTTCAGGGAAGTTTTTAATGTGTGACATTTTAATGTATTTTTAATCTTTGTTGGAAGCCGCCCAGAGTGGCTGGGGAGACCCAGCCAGATGGGCGGGGTACAAATAAATAAAATAAAATAACAACAACAACAACTGTTCAAAATGACTATATAGCTCTGTTCTAGCACGGATGTGGGTGCGTGGAGGCTTCTGTGCTTAAAATGTCAGTTTTCTTTTTCATTCAACAGAGCAACTTCATAGTCCTTGCGGCTTGTGGGGGAAAAAGCTACAAAAGGTGCCATTTCCCAATGAGACTCAGGCTAATTGGAGGGAAGGATCTATTTGCTTCACACCAATCCCTGCCCTTTATTATGACTCCTGGCCTCTATTCTGCAATTATATTTTTTACAAAAAAATAAGGCTCTAAGAAAGACTCTTAAAATCTATCCCCCCCAACCCCCAGCTCACAGGCCAAAGGCCTGACAGGAAAAACAATCCATAGTCTGGGATGTGGAAGGACATGGCATATTCCAGTTTTCACAAGTGGAATCAACTATGCAGGTCAGCGGTACAACTGTGCATAGACACGGGACCTGCTGCTTCTTCCTAGTTCATAATTCTACTCACTTTGAGGTTAGGGTGCAGTAAACAGCTGTGCTGGATCTTTTTCCTCACCTCTTGTGATTCATAAGCAGCTCCCTGTGAAGTTCTTGATGGCTTTTCGAGGCTCTTACAGGGTTGAGCAGCTTTTTAGGTTTGATAAGGTCAGGGTTTCCGTCAATGTAATCTGGATGAGTCATGATATTCCCAATATCTGGCCTCTCTCTCTGTATTTCAGTATACATAGATGCTAGGAGAGAGGGGGAAAGAGGGGGGAGGAGAGAAAGAAAGAAAGAAGGCCTCTGGATTATTATTATTATTTCTTCTTCTTCCAGATATATACTGTATATATGAATCATCTCAAGTCTGTGCCCTTCCGGATTACAAAGACTACCTGAGCAATGTCATTCCATGACAGTAAGTACAGTGGTACCTCGGGTTACAGACGCTTCAGGTTACAGACTCCGCTAACCCATAAATATTACCTCGGGTTAAGAACTTTGCTTCAGGATGAGAACAGAAATCGTGTGGTGGCAGCAGGAGGCCCCGTTAGCTAAAGTGGTGCTTCAGGTTAAGAACAGTTTCAGCTTAAGAACGGACTTCCAGAACGAATTAAGTTCTTAACCAGAGGTACCACTGTAAGCAGTTTCCACTGGACCTCTTACATGGCGTTTGAACTGAGCTCTCTAAGCTTTCGGAGGACTAACTCATGTTTTGACTCTGTGTGTGGAGAGTTCCACACAGATCCCCTCAGCTCTTGAAAGAATGTGCCGGAACTCACTACGAACACCTCCCTTGTTCTCTTATAATGGCAATGGCGTCCACCTGAGAGGTGCCAGAACTGAGTTCTGGCTGGGAAAAAAGCTCCCTCTCTCCTCTCTCTCTCTGTGTGATATATAATTGCTGTGTATCCCGGCATTGCACACATGAGCCACATTGCTCACCAACCATCCCTTCGCATAGAGCTCCACCCCCCCCCATACAAGGGTATGGGAATCCTGATTGGTCCAGGATTCCCCCTTGCATGGAAGAGATTTATCCGTGGCTACTAGCCATGATGGCTATGTTCCACTGTCAGAGGTAATTCGCTTCTAAAGGCCAGTGGCTGGGAATTGCAGGCAGGCAGAGGGATGTTGAGCTCGTGCCCTGCTCCCTGACTTCCCACAGACACAGGAGAACAGGATGCTCGATATTGACCTGATCCAGAAGAGGTCTTCTTACGTTCTTAGGTCCTCCTGCTCTCAGCTTGTGTGCACTGGGCCCCATATCCCTAGAGCTGGTTGGCAATGTGGGTGCTGCGGGAGTGGGTCTGGCGGGCTCAGTGCCACTCCCTTCCTCAGTGCATGAGTGGTGGTCCTTTGAGTGACCCTCCAGCAAGGTAGGCAACAGCATAGTAAAGGGACCCCTGACCATTAGGTCCAGTCGTCGCCGACTCCGGGGTTGCGGCACTCATCTCGCTTTATTGGCTGAGGGAGCCGGCGTACAGCTTCCGGGTCATGTGGCCAGCATGACTAAGCAGCTTCTGGTGAACCAGAGCAGCGCACGGAAACGCCGTTTACCTTCCCGCCAGAGCAGTACCTATTTATCTACTTGCACTTTGACGTGCTTCCGAACTGCTAGGTTGGCAGGAGCAGGGACCAAGCAACGGGAGCTCACCCCGTCGCGGGGATTCGAACCGCCAACCTTCTGATCGGCAAGTCCTAGGCTCTGTGGTTTAACCCACTGCGCCACCTGCGTCCAGGCAACGACATGGTACCCTGCAAATGCCGGGGCTACAACTACTAGGGCTGCCATCTTTCAAAAAGTAAAAAACCAGGACACCCTGAAAGTTGTTGAGCTCTTCATTAGTAAGAACCCAGAATTGCTGAGCTTAAAACACCCCGAAATTGTTGAGCTTTCCAGAAATTTCCCCAGATGTCACTTCCGCCTTTGACATCCCGGCAATGTCTGGAAAAATACGGATGCATGGCAGCCCCAACGACTCCCTTCATCCTTGACCATTGGGCTGTGCTGCCTAAAATATTCAGCTCGAACTCCATTTCCCCCCACCTTTCTGCCCCATTCCCCCACTTCTGTGACTGTCTACGCCCTGCATGCCATAGTGATATTGCCGGGCATGCTTGTACCAAACGTTGGAAATGTCAGAGTGAGATCAGAGAAGAAGAAGCAGGGCAGCGTTAAGTGAATTACAACCTGATAAAACCCATATAGGTAAAAAAACAGAATTCACAGTGTTGAAGCGGCTTCCTGCTACATCGCATGCTAACTGGGCTAGCGTCCCACCGGGGTGGGGCAGGGGGGTCAAGGGAAGGGGAGAAAAACAGATCACAACTGATTACATCAGCATAATTGGGGCTAAAAGTTCAATGCTGCAATTAAACGCTGCAGGGTAGCGGATCCAGCCGCTCCGTGCACCAAATTATTTTGCAGCAGTCGCAAACCCCATTCGGCTAGCAGGGAAAGAGAGGCTGGCTAGTTTTGTCTAGCTTGACCACCGTTGTTGAGACACAGACCTGCGGCTCACCCTGGCCTCTTATGAAACAAGAAACACCTGCTGTACTCAGGAAAGCGCAGCTCCCTATCTAAGAATGATCCTTGTTGGAACAGCTCTTTCCTTTGTACAACATTTTCAGAAACAGTGTGTGTGGGTTTTAAATGCTTCTTCCACAGCTTTGGAAGCAAGAATCTTGGAGTGATTCCAGAATCCAGACTGTCACTATTTTCAGGTGGGGTTCAGTCACATGCCAGCAAATTTGGGTTGGCTGGGAGGTTTTGCACAGCAAACTAATTTCTCCAAAAGGTTGTGTTTCGTTTCATTTTTGCGATAAGCAAAGCGATGGGGAAATGAACTTGCTTTGGTGCAGTGGTGTCTAACATCTCCACCAGCAAGTCAGAATGGATGTTCACTGAATAGCCAAGTTCATCTGAACTTCCTGCCAAAACAGTTCAGGATGAATGTTCAATGAACAGGTCACCTGGAAGCTTCCTTGCAGGCTATATGGCAATACTACAAGCCAGGTAGTGGAGGGAGAGCTCCATGAGACTGGTCCTGAAAGACCTACATTGGCTCCCAGTATGTTTCTGAGCACAATTCAAAATGTTGGTGCTGACCTTTAAAGCCCTAAACCAGGCTTCCTCAAACTCGGCCCTTCAGATGTTTTGAGACTACAATTCCCATCATCCCTGACCACTGGTCCTGCTAGCTAGGGATCATGGGAGTTGTAGGCCAAAAACATCTGGAGGGCCGAGTTTCAGGAAGCCTGCCCTAAACGGCCTCAGCCCAGTATACCTGAAGGAGCGTCTCCATTGCCATTGTTCTGCCCAGACACTGAGATCCAGTGCCAAGAGCCTTCTGGCGGTTCCCTCACTGTGAGAAGCGAAGTTACAGGGAACTAGGTAGAGGGCCTTCTTGGTGGTGGCACCCACCCATCAGATGTCAATGAAATAAACAACTACCTGACTTTTAGAAGATATCTGAAGGCAGCCCTGTATAGGGAAGTTTTTAAAGTTTGATGTTTTATCGTGTTTTTAATATTCTGTTGGGAGCCTCCCAGAGTGACTGGGGAAACCCAGCCAGATGGGTGAGGTATAAATAATAAATTATTATTATTATTCACAAGACCTTGCTTTCTGCATTACATTGTTATCTCCAGCCTGAGTTTCTCATCTGTAAGATGGCCATAAGATTGACCTACCCCACAAGTTTTGATAATGATTGCAAAATGACTACCAAGTTGCCAGCAATGGTCCTGGATGGTTAGAGTGTGGTGCTGATAATGCCAAGGTCGCTGGTTCAATTCCCCATAAAGGACAGCTGCATATTCCTGCATTGCAGAGGTTTGGACTAGATGATCCTCAGAGTCCCTTCCAACTATGATTCTATGGGAAGGATGTTTCCATCATGGGTGCAGTGAGATCAAGCAGCTCAGTCCCACGTTCTTCCCTCAGAGGACTTTGTTGGGAGCTGCTACAAAACCAGGGAAGAACCTAGAGCCTGTTCGTTGCCAGATCGATACAGTGGTACCTCGGGTTACAGACACTTCAGGTTAGCTGAAGTGATGCCTCAGGTTAAGAACAGTTTCAGGTTCAGAACAGACCTCCAGAATGAATTAAGTTCTTAACCCGAGGTACCACTGTATGTGGTTAAAACATTTATATCCCACCTTTGTTCCAAGGAAAAGGTGACACACATGGTCAGAGCATCAGCAAAAGGTCCCAGGTCTAGTCCTTGGCATCTCCAGGTGGGGCTTGGAGAGACACCTGTCTGAAACCCTGAGGAGCCTCTGCCAGCCAGTGTAGACAATACTGGGGTTGGTGGACTAATGGTCTGACTCAGCATAAGGCAGCTCCCTATGTTCCTAAGTCTCCCCACCCCACTTTCATCCTCATGCCCACCCTGAGGTAGGTTGGGTTGAGATGTGTGATAGGGCCAAAGTCGCTCAGTGAGCTTCATGGCTGAGTAGGGATCTGGACCAAGTTTCTGCCAGTCAGAGTCTGATGCACCAATCACTACACCACACTGCCTCTCTGGTTTATGAAAGTCCCTTTACCACATAAAATGCTCTTGCTGAAGTCATACACTGGCTTTGATATCCAATGGTTGTTGACTCCCCCCAAAACCTCTCCACTTGTCACACTGAAATGAATTTTTTGAAACGTTGGAGGCCGCAGAAGAAAGAAACAACCTTGAAAACCTATTTAATTTGCCCTCTAAAGTAAAGGAAAATGAGAAGCTGGAGAGCCTTTTGTTTTGCGATCCCGCGGCCTTTGTGACAAACAAGTGTTCCCACTTGGATATTTGAGTGTAAAATGAGAGGAGCAGGGAGACGCCAGTTCCTGGGCAATCTGTCAGGAGAAAGGAACAGCCTCTGATCGTTATTCATCCCTCTCACTCTTACGTAACCCCTGAGCTCCTCACTGAAGAGGACTGGACTTTGTTCTCACAAAGACGGGCTGAATTAATTTGCCGACATCCCAGAATGTTCGAAACCAAAGAAATCGATGGCAATGAGTAGACAGGAAGGTATCTCCAGACTGGGGTCGGGAGCTCCTCCTTGCTCTGGCCAAAATCGGAAACAAAAGGCTTGTTCACACATTACACTGAACGCAGGCACAAGCCGTCTCTACACAAGTACAAGGGCTTGTGTGAAAGAGTGCACACTTTTCAACACTTGCTGAAAGCCACTCCTGTGCTCTTTGCATGCTGCTTCCCAAACATCTGACAGATGGCTGTCAAATCTCCTTGCTCTATGGTTCGTAAGTGCCCGAAAACCAAGGCACTGCCAGACACTTGGGGAGAGCCGAACAAGGGGCTTTGATAGGACAAACCACCTGCCAATATCGTGATGACATCAAGTGATTGACAGGTGGATTGTCCTGCCCATTTGCCAGAGCTGGCCTATGGGGGGGGGGGCAGATAAGGATCAGGCTTGCTGGACTAAAGAAGTTTCCCACCTCGGCCTTTGAGAATAATAGTGGCTTTTGTCTTGTGCAGCAGTACCAAGGCTGGCTCAAGACATTTTGCCGCCTGTGGCAAAAGGCAAGATGGCGCCCTTCCTCCTATTCCATGTACAGAAGCTGACTGGACGGCCGGTTGAATCTTATTTCAATGCTGGTAACAGGACAGCATATCTCCCACCATACCTGAGGGCAGCAGGCTGGCTTAGAGGGTGCAGACAGTCTGCGTGGAAAAAACAGACCTGTCCCCCAACACCCTCAACACTGCCTTGCTCCCCAACACCTGCTGCCTGAGGGGGCCACCTCATCCTGCCCGATAGTAGGGCCGGCACTGAGCAGCACGCAGAGCACGGTGCACTTGCAAACATTACCAGGTGCCTGGCTTGACGGAGAGCAGAATCTTGACCTGGAGACAGCTCAGAAGGATTGCCAGAAAGATTGTATGGATCAGTGCAGAGCACAGAGTGACTGAAGCATGAACATACTTCAACAAGCTGAGTGAGTTTCAGACAAATATTTACAAAAAGGAGAGGTATAGCAGGTTTTTGCTGGACCTCACCTTGCAGAAACATGAACTTCATAAGGAAGGTTCTCTCTGGAAACAAAGGGAACAGTTTCTGAATATTGACGTGGCAAAGCTAACAAGACACATAGTACTCAATAACTAGGATCTTGGCATTTTTTTGTAGTCATCAACATTTTGAATCTTACACCTGGATCCGGAACTTCCTCTTGATAGCTTCTGCCCTTAACCACAAGGCAACATCATTAGGCCATGGAGTAGTGGGGCATTTTGAAGTGCAGAAGCTCATTATGACGTCCCCGAGGAGAGTCCAGAAATGCCGCCAGCTCTGTAGGTCTACTGTATGTATATGTACACACATACACCAAAGAGTAGCAGTACACAATAATACCCCATTTATTAGGATCAGTGTGGCTGTAATCCTATGCACGACTCCCTTGAAGTCAGCTTCACTGATTTCAGTGACAGTTCAGCTTGCAAACATAATGAGCTTCAGCACACGACCTTTGGGCTGATAAAATGCAACGTTTAGCTTTAGAATGCAGACGATCTTGCAAAGAAACAGCTAGCATGAAGTAGGAACGCCCAACAAAGAAAAGGGAAGCTGCGTCCAATCTCTGCTTGATTATTTTCCTCTTTCTCTGATTTCCCCTCTTCTGATCACTTACCGACAAACTTGAAAACCTTGTTGTTCCCTCGTTCACTTTTGCTTTTCAAAAGGAGCAACGTTATTCCTACTACAGCACTTTTCAGTGTACAAAGCATTCCGCAGTTTGGGGTGGGATCTACACACACGTTAAAAACATTGTGAAATGGTTTTTTTTTAAAAAAACCGTTTTGAAAAATTCATTGAATTTGCTATAACTCACATTCGCCATCTGGTGTCACAATTGTATATTGCACTTTACAACGCATTCAAAACTTTTCATTTGCAGTTGTATAGCCGAGTCCCTTATTTCCTAATATAACAGCCCTACCTTCCTTTTCACCAATGAATGTTAAATCCAATAACAGATCTATCAATGACCTCTCTTACTTGGCATCTCGTGGTCTCTCGGACCAAGATGGCAGCAACACCTTCTTGTTACACACCTGTCTCATAAGAGTAAAATCAGGGCAGCTGGCGATGCTGATCTCTATGCTGAGAGATAGCCAAACCCATTGCAGTTCAAACTAGTCTTAAGACCACATCTGACAGAATTAGATTAGTCACACTGGCAATCATTTACAATCTGTTTGGGGTATTTGGTAATGTTTTAGACTCCATGGCAACTGGAGGAGAAGTGGGGGTGGGGTGGGAAGCATTTTAAAATGTGAACGATCTCTGCTAGGGAAGGAAGATCTGACAAGGAGGGTCAGACTAATACAGATTGATGCAGGTCAATACAGGGGCAGGTAATCTTTCAGGTAACCTGGCCCCAAAGCTGTTCAGAGCCTTTTATTTGTTAGCAACAAGGCCCGGAACATGGCCCAATAGCTGATTGGCGGCCAATGCAGTTCTCTCAGCACATGTGCACATCCAAGTGTTCTGGTCAAGAACCACTCAGTGTGGCCGAGTCTTTGGCCTGTGCTGAGTTTTCAGGAAAATCAGACCATGGCAAGGCAGCTGCACACTGCCCTGAATCAAATTCAACCTCTGCATGCTGCCACACAAATATTTATATAGGTAAAAAAGGTAAAGGACGCCTGGATGGTTAAGTCCAGTCAAAGGCGACTATGGGGTTGCGGCCCTCATTTCGCTTTCAGGCCGAAGGAGCCGGTGTTTGTCCACAGACAGCTTTCCGGGTCATGTGGCCAGCATGACTAAACCACTTCTGGTGCAACGGGACACTGTGACGGAAACCAGAGTGCACAGAAACACCGTTTACCTTCCCGCTGGAGCGGTACCTATTTATCTACTTGCACTGGCGTGATTTCAAACTGCTAGGTTGGCAGGAGCTGGGACAGAGCAACGGGAGCTCACTCCGTTGCGGGGATTCGAACCGCCGACCTTCCGATCGGCAAGCCCAAGAGGCTCAGTGGTTTAGACCACAGCGCCACCCACGTCCCTACATATTTATATACTGAGGCATTAGAAGGGTTGTGCTCAAACCCAACCCATGAGTGATGATGTCACAGCAACTGCTTCTCCACAGTTGTGAGGAACAGCCCAGGATACTGCTGATGGCAGACTGACAGCAGATAATTCAATTAAAAATAAAAAAATAAAAAAATAAAAAAATTAGAACCTTATTTTCCCCCCAGCCTTCTAAAAAGAAGCATCACTCTAAAAAGGCCACTTCCATGTTTTGTGGCAAGATAAAAATAGGCTGCATAAAGAAGCATTGACATTTGCTTAAAGCTGTTGCCTATTAATTCTATTAAGTGAGTGCAAGTTCTTGTGCTTTGACAGAGGATGAAAAATGTTCCCTAAGCAAATTTTCTACACCATTCTTTTTAAAAAGAAATAAATACAATTTTTATTAAATTTTCTGTTTTACAATTTCAGATAAAATTTTTACATACTTAAGATATCAATGACCTCCCTTCTTCTCTTTCCATGGTTCATTTTGCATATCTTATATCCCTGCATATTTTACAAAAACTATACCAATTGGTTTTCCATTATTACACAACTTATTTACACTGTTGAATTTAAGGCTGCCAGCGTTTTCAGCTGTACACAATTATTTCCCATATATTCGACAAACGTTTTCCAATCTTCTTTAAACGTATGCTCTTCTTGTTCTCTTATTCTATATGTTAAGTCTGCAAGTTGTGCGTATTCTGTCAACTTGAAGTTTCAATTCTTCTTTAGTTGGGACCTTGCTCATTTTCCATTTTGGGACTAATGAAACACGGGCCGCAGTTGTTGCATACATAAATAACCTTTTTCTGATACCTGGGAATTTAATTCTTGATCTCCTAAATCTTTCATATCCATCAATAGATGTTTTTTATCCAAGCTAAAAGCACCACTTCTTTAAATCTTTCTTAATTAGGAGGACGATCAATTCCTCTGATACTTTCAGCTATTAAACCATACTGCCGACAGCTCTGCTAATATCTTTAGAAATGTGCTGCCGACCAGGATTTTGCACTGTGGTACGAAGGTGGCTTCAACACTAACCTTTTCTCTGGAAGTGCTATATTTTGCTTACTCAACTTTTTTAACGGAGAATCCAGAACACATCATGGCCGTCAAATTGCATTTCCACTGCTTTAGGAGCATAGGATGATGTCTTATGTCATACTGGCGATCCCTTTAGCTCAGTACTGTCTACCCCCAACCTGCGGTTCTCCAGATGTTTTGGCCTACAACTCCCATGATCCATTTGTGGCTTAGGGGGTCCATGAATAACCATAGTTTAGAGGTCCCGGGCCCTAAGGAAGTCAGACTATCCTCCACCAGGGCCAGGGCCTTTTCAGTGATGGCTCCGACCTGGTGGAATGCTCTGTCCCATGAGACTAGGGCCCTTCAGGATTCAACCTCCTTCCATCGGGCCTGTAAGACAATGCTATTCCGCCTGGCCTTTAATTTGAATTCAGCCTGATCTTTTATTTCCCTTCCCTTCCCTCCCCCTCCCCTTTTATGAAGATCACCTGCACACCACAGCTAATTCTCCCCTGGTCTCCTCGCTGGCCCAAGTAGGACCAATTCAGCCAGCTAGCCCTGGGGATTATCTAATGCTTATTTCCCCTAAATTGATTTTTGAATTTTATTGTTATTCATGTTTTTATACTGTATTTTATGCTGCTTTTATAATTAAGTGTTTTAAATTTGTTGTTAGCCGCCCTGAGCCCGGTTTTTGAACCAGGAAGGGTGTGGTATAAATAAAATTTTATTATTATTATTATTAGCTAACAGGACCAGAAGTCAGGGATGATGGGAATTGTAGTCCAAAACATCTGGAGGGCCGAAGGTTGGGGATGCCTGGTCTACACTGACTGGCAGCTTTCTTCCCAGTCCTTCCTGAGGAAGCCGGGCATTGAACCTGGGACCTTCTGGATGCAAAGCAACTGCTCTATCCCTGAGCTACAGCTCTTCCCACAATGTATGCTTTCCTTCCATGTTTCTCCCACAACAAAATGTAATTGCAACCCAGTCTGTCCAGTATCAAAGCGCTGCTGACTGTTTTATTTATTTATGAATTCATAAGAGTACAAAATACAGAATTGGAGAAGAAACAATAGATACATTACGTCAATCCATTATTCTATTCCATCGACTTCCTGTCCATCCTTCCATGGCTCCCTAAGTTTCCCATTCCTGTTGCATATTCTATTTTTTCTAACTATTTAAACATTCAAATTCTTCTCATTACAGTGGTACCTCAGGTTACATACGCTTCAGGTTACAGACTCTGCTAACCCAGAAATAGTGCTTCAGGTTAAGAACTTTTCTTCAGGATGAGAACAGAAATTGGGCTCCGGCGGCGCGGCAGCAGCAGGAGGCCCCATTAGCTAAAGTGGTGCTTCAGGTTAAGAACAGTTTCAGGTTAAGTACGGACCTCCGGAACAAATTAAGTACTTAACCCGAGGTACCACTGTATAAGCTATAACTGCTGAGCTTACTCCAAACCGACTAAAGCTCTAACATTTTTACAATGGTATTTTAGGTAGTCTACAAATGGCTTCCATTCCTCTTTAAATCTTTCCTCTTCTTGCTAATTCTGCGTATTCCATTTCATCTGCCACTCCTCCTTCGTAGGTACGATCTCCTCTCTCCGTTTTCGTGCATATAGTATTCTCGCTGCTGTAGTGGCATACATAAACAAATTTGTTTGTTTACTTGGTACCTTGGACCTCATTATTCCTAACAGGATGGCATCTTTGGAAAGGTCTTCCGAAACAATTTTTTCAATTCATTTCATATCATTTCCCGATATTATTTAAGTACTCTACAGGTCCACCACATGTGACAAAAGGTTCCATCTGTACCTGTACACTTCCAATATTTACCTGAGTCTGACTTATACATTTTCGCTAATTCATTTGGCGACAGGTACCACCTGTAAATCATTTCCCAATAATTTTCCTTAAGAGCCATAGCACGCCGTAGCTTCCCCCACAAATCTAACTCTATATTTGTGGCCCACATCTATAGCCCAATTGATCATTGCCGTTTTCACCATTTCATCCTTTGTCTCTCATGCTAACATTTTTTAGGGCAGACTTTTCTTTAGTTAAAAGCTTGGTTTCTGCTCCTTTAATTGTTTCCTGTTCAGCATAGCTGGGCGATAAGTGACTGATTGCTCCTTAATTAGGCAGGTTCTGTTCACTGCAGGGAAAAGCTTTAACGGCTGGCTTTCTTTTATTCCATTTTGTTTTCTTTCTTTTGTAGCAAAATTATATTGTTTTAGCTACCTAAGAAAAGGGGGAAATGGAAGATGATGTAGTCAAAGCTCTACCGGAGTGGAGGAGCTTATTAATTAAGAGGTACTTAATCATTATTCCTCACAGTCATACTGAACAGGAAGCAACAGAATGGCAAGAAGCTACAAAGAGGAAGCTATTAATTAATTTTTCAGTGGACCTTGGCTGAACAGAGCTTATTTGTGACTGAACAATGCTGAAGGGTTTTGGCCACAGCGTAGGGTGTTGCTGGGTAACTCAGCGCTATATGCTGTGTTGCCTGAAGCCACAATTTAAATTAGCGCTAAACTAAAGTAATTGGACAGCGATTTTTTAATGCCTTCAGGAGGGTGAAGCCAAAGTAGCCCTCAAAGGCGAAATTCTAACGTTGGAGTGAATTACCATATTGGAGGGAGTGGATTTACCACATCAAATGAAACAACAGACTATTTCACAGTTTTTCTTACTTAAAAAAAAGCTGCAACCAAAATAAGTAGCCAGGGCTGTGGTGCTCCTCATTGCCAACAGAATTACCCAGCGCAAACAGTGCTATGACAGAGCATCTTCCCCATTATTTGTAAGAAGAGAAAGAAAGGGAAAAGGACTTCCCCCGCTGAGAGGCGATACATCACCACTGGACAAAAATCAAGACCATTTCATTTGATATAACTTAAATTGGAAGTCGGTCCCCTTAAAATCTTGTTGCACAACTTTGTCAATGAACTTCTTGAATGCAGTCCGTTAATTTTTAGTTTATTTTCATGTCTCCAGTAGTCCCTGTCCCTCCACTGATATCCGGTATACTAGGGATGGGGAACTATCATCCCACAGGCCGTTCCTTACCCAAGAATGGGTCCAATTTTGCCTGCAAGGCCATTTCCCCCAAACCACACCCACCTGCCCGCCAGCTGACATCACTGGTCAGTTTATGGGTGGGAGGTCAGGGTTTAGTCCTGCATTAGCTGCATACCATGTTCCCAGCAGGAAACAGCCAATGCAGCAGAATTTTACCCCTACTCGTTAAAGCTCTTTGCAAAAGCACTCTTTGAAGCAGCTCTGCTTTAAGCAAGTGGGTAGGTGGGTGACAAGAGAGGAGAAAGGAGCCTTCTCTCCCCCACCATCAGTACCTGCCTGCTCTCTTAAGGGAGAAGCCTGGAACTGCTTCAAATACCATTTTTGCGAAGGCCTTTAAGACAACTCCCCATGCTCCTGTTTCAGTCTCTGGAGGCTGAAAAGGGCGTGCGGATGCTGTCGTAAAGCCCTTTGCAATAGTGCTTTCTGAAACAGCCGCCCCAGTTCTCCTTTAACAGCAAACTGAAGCTCTCAGGTTACTTTCCAGAGAAAGGGGCATTACTTCAAGTACAGAGACAATATACGTCCCTGAGAAGTGAGACTTGGAATCTTTTCTCCTTGACTAACACAGTTGGTGTTTCCAAGAAGCTGACATTACAGTGGGCCATTAAACAAAAGTAGCATTTTGCCTGCCAAAGTACAGATATTAAATACAAAAGGGTTTCCATGCCAACTTGAACTCTCCCTCCTCCTTTTCAAGGTTTCGGTGACCAAATCTGATATTTTTCGAACTCTGTCAAAAAAGCCTTGTCCAAATAAAATGGATTTTAGAAATAATGCCTTAAAAAGAGAGAGAGAGAATGAAGGACAGTGCCTCACCTCCTCTTGAAAAGCAGGAATACCAAGCACTGTGGAGATTTTGAAGGTGTAGAAGAATATCCCTATTTTACAAGTCTGCTGAAGCCCAACTCAGTTACAGTACAATCGGGAATGGCTGACTTACAGCACAATCCTAACTAACCATGTATACTTAGAAGTAAATCCCATTAAATTCAATGGAGCTTACTCCTAATTGGTTTAGTTAGCAGCTCAGTCTCACACTCCATGGTATGGGTAGATCAGGATCTACTGACTGATCTCTAAAGGATTTGCAGTAGATTAGCAAATTGGATTGTTTAAATATCAACCACCTCAGGCCCTACAACTATCAGGAGAGGCCCTATTGGTGGTGATGCCTCAAGTTACGGCCTGGATGGATTTCCTCTGCGACAGGGTCTTCTTGGCAGTGGCTCCAAGTGGTTTTTAAAAACATTCCTGTTTACCCAGGCATTTGACGGCTGATAGACACAGGCCATGGCAACTGTGAAATTTGTAACGGTGGGGGTATGTGATTGTTTCTAAACGTTCATAGATGTTCTAAATATTTTAAATATGTTTTATTTTAACTATATTCTGTTTTAATTGCCTTCAGCTCTGAGGTTTGCCAGCCTGGGATCCTTTGATGGAAATTTAATGAATGAATAAAGGCAGAGATGGCCAAAATGAAAAAAGGGCAGTGTCCCCCCCTTTTAAATTAAGATGGTGAGGACTTCATTTTGGTCCATCACTCAAGCCTTGTCCTCTCTGGCCAATGATTGGCCAACCTGAATTCCAGCTGATGACGGGCTGTCCTGCCTTCCTTTGCGACCAGTTGGGGGAATTCCCAAACAGACTGGCCTAGGATGGAGAGGCCCTTTTCCCCCAAGGCCTTTCCATAACGGGCTGCAACTGGGTAGGCGGCCAGTTTGGTAGTAAAATCAAATTTTGAGTATGTGGTCAGAGGCAGGACCCTGGTCCTTAATTCCACATTTCGTGGTCAGGCAAGTGGGTTACTGTGGGGGGCTGGTGATAAAAACCCATATGATTTTGGGGGCACCAAGTGCATCTGGACTCTTATGACATGTTTTCAAGTCTGCAAACAGGATACACATTCCACTGTGTCAAAAAGCCAAATGCCAAGAGATAGTTTTCATGTAGCTGAGGAGTGGCTGATAATTTATTTCATTTCCATTCCGCAAGCTGACACAAAAGAGGCAAAACTTCACAGCACACAATCCCCCCCATTGTTTCTGAAGGTTCTGCTTTGCAGTTTCCACAGTGCAAGCCAACGTGCTTTGTACAATGGGGCCTACGGCCTAGTAAAACGTGTTTAGGATTGCAGCCTTATTGTATTCGCAGACCAGCAAAGAAGAGAGTCGGATTTCTGAATGAAAGATTAGGGCTAGGGTGGTTTGCCAACTGAAGAGTCGATTAATCCCCTTGCTTTTAAAGTCATCATAATGCCCAAACCTCAATATTAATGCCTTTTTGAGAATATTGAAGGCGAGAAATGTGAAATAACCTGCAATCTAGGCAACCTCCTGCCCAGCCTCATTGTTAGATTGAACTTGTGTACAAACCATACTTTTAAGCACATTTAAAGCGCATCTCCACCAGGTATCCTGGGAATTGTAGTTTTTTAAGGGTGTTGGGAATTGTAGCTCTGTGAGGACTAAACTACAGTTCCCAGTGTTCTTTGGGGGAAGCCATGTGCTCTAAAGGTAGGGTGCGTATGCTGCCAGAGACATACTTTATATTCTGTGCTTGATTTAGTGCCTCAGTAACACACCTGTCTTAGGCACGCTAACAGAAATGCGCCACAGCCGTCTTCAAACTGGTGCCCTCCAGATTTCGTTGAACTTCAACTCCCATCCAGAGCCGTCTTAAGCTTTTGCGGCGCCGGGGTGCAAAGATCCGCCCTGCGCCCCTAGGTTGCTGTTTGGTGGGGTTCACCGCTGCCTCACCCTCCCCTGCTGCATGGCGGCTGTTGCGGCTGTGTGCACAGCACCCGGAGCGCCGTTTAACGTTGTGGGCGCTCTGAGACGCATCCTGTTGCGTGCGCCAAGCTGCGGGTTCCTTTGCTGGCTTTTCTGCTGTCTGTGCATGCTCCCAGCACCACCCAGAATGCAAGTGGCAGTGGAGGAAAGATCTCTGGACGGGATCCGCATGCCCCTATTCATCGGGATTTGTTGCTGCCGTCGGCACTGTTGGCGTGCGGCAGATCCCGTCTGGAGATGTTTCCTCCGCTGCCACTTGCATTCTCACGCTGGCACCCCACGTTGGGTGGCGCTGGGAGAGTGCGCCGACAGCGGAAAAGCCAGCAAAGAAACCCACAGCTTGGCGCATGCAACAGGATGCGCCATGCAGCGCCCACAACGTTATACAGCGCTCTGGGTACTGCACTGAAACAGTTAGCCGTCATGCAGCTGGGGCAAGAGCCAACAGCTGAGCGGAGCAGAGCCCATTGGAGCGCCGCGGGCTCTTCTGCTGTGCGCGGCTTGGCGTGAGTTCGGGGGCGAGTGTTGGAGGAAGAGCCGCCCACAGCAAAAGAGCCTGCGGCACTCCGACGGGCTCTGCTCGGCTGTCAGTGGCTCTTCCCTGGAATGCAATGCTCAGCCCTGGACTCTCAGCCTGGCGCCCCTGAGAGCCCGGCGCCTGGGTGCTGTGCACACCTAGCGCCAATGGTTAAGACGGCCCTGCTCCCATCAGCCCCTGCCAGCATGGCCAATGCTCAGGAATGATGGGAGTTGTAGTCTCTGGATGGCACCAGTGGACCTTTTAAAGCAAAGGCTGAGGATAAGTAACAGCGTTTCTTTACCTCAGACGGCGAATGCACAGAACAGCGGAACTAACACACACCACAGGCCAAGACATTCTGCCTCAGCCTCCTTTCCTTGAACCTGCTCTTCCCCCACTTCTGCTTATCACCACATTATCTGATTAGGGCTGCCACCTGAAGGTCTTAACATGATCTTAACATACAGAGGAAAAAGGACAATTCCCCCCACATCATTAAAAGTAGCAAAACAAACAAACAAAAACAATAAAAGCCCCATCCCTAGGGTGACATGGCAGATATCCCTTGATCTGCATGGCGAGCCCCTTATACCTGAAGAAGCATCTCCACCCCCATTGTTCATCCCAGAGACTGAGGTCCAGCTCCGAGGGCCTTCTGGCGGTTCCCTCACTATGAGAAGCAAAGCTACAGGGAACCAGGCAGAGGGCCTTCTTGGTAGTGGCACCCGCCTTGTGGAACACCCTCCCATCAGATGTCAAGGAAATAAACAACTATCTGACTTTTAGAAGACATTTGAAGGCAGACCTGTTTAGGGAAGTTTTTAATGTGTGACATTTTAATGTATTTTGAATCTTTGTTGGAAGCTGCCCAGAGTGGCTGAGGAAACCCAGCCCGATGGACAGGGTACCAATAAATTATTATTACTATTATTATTATTAACGTGGAAATATTTTATAGAGACTGTGTGGCTCAGTGGTACAGCATTTGCCTTGCATGAAAAAGGTTCAATCCCTGGCATCTCCAGGTGAGGAAGTCTGGGGAAATCCTGGCTGGATCCCTGGAAAGCTGCCTAATAATAATAATAATAATAATAATAATAATTTATTATTGGTACCCCGTCCATCTGGCTGAGTTTCCCCAGCCACTCTGGGCGGCTTCCAATCAAGTGTTAAAAACAATACAGTATTAAATATTAAAAACTTCCCTAAACAGGGCTGCCTTCAGATGTCTTTTAAAGAGAAGATAGCTGTTTATTTCCTTCACATCTGAAGGGAGGGTGTTCCACAGGGCGGGTGCCACTACCGAGAAGGCCCTCTGCCTGGTTCCCTGTAACCTCACTTCTCGCAATGAGGGAACCGCCAGGAGGCCCTCGGCGCTGGACCTCAGTGTCCGGGCTGAATGTTGGGGGTGGAGACGCTCCTTCAGGTATGCCCACTGCCAGTCAGCGTGGGCAATATTGAGCTATAAGGCAACGTCTGACGTTGCCCTGTTTCCTTCAAATTAATGTACAGAATTTGCTGCTGCTGGTGACTAGCTTGGATGGCTATAAAGGGGGATAAGACACATGTGTGGTGGAGGAGGAGGAGGATGGGTCTATCGGTGGCTGTCAGTCGCAGCGGCAAAATGCAACCTCCATTTTCAGAGTTAGTATATCACTCAGTGGGAAGCAACGGCCGGCAAGAGCTTGAGGGCTTCCCAGCGGTATCTAATTGGCAACCGTGTGGGGAACTGTACGGTGGAATTGATGGGCCTTTTGTATGATCCAGAAACGGGGCCCTTTTTAGTCTCTTAATTAGGCTGCATGCAATGGACGCAACCTTTGCAACCAGACCTCTGGCAGCTGGATGCCCCGTGGTCCTGTTTTGGAAACGGAGATATAGAAGATCGCAGGGTTGTGCTGGAGAGAGGCGAGAAGCTGGTAGGAGGTTTGGAACACGGGTGGGGAACCGCTGTATTCTGCGAGCAAAAGAATCTGTGAACACGGAGGAGTTTGCAAATGCTCAAAAGTTACAAAAAGTTAGGCATCAGGTGAAAATACTGCTTTTCATGCAGGGCCTTGGCTGATTAAATCATATATGGCCTTTTAAATGTGTTTGTGGGTGGGGGTTGTTGTTATTATGCTATGTATTTTGTATTTTTTTTTTATGTTGTAAACTGTCCTGTGATCTTCAGAAGAAAGGTGGTATACAAATTTAATAAATAATGATGATGATGACGAACAGAATTGCAACCTGGAGTTTTTGTCCCCATTAAATTTTGCAAATTAAGAACACTTGCATAAATTTACTTCTTCTTTTGTTTACTTACCTTGTTGCACAGCCAACATTTTGAGCTTTTTTATTTATTTTGAAAAGCGATGGGATGACTGGATGGGGACTGAGGTAATTTGCCACTATAACCTATGGGGAGAGTTTGTTAAGGGTGATCGGAGTTGTAGCTCTGCGAGGGATAAACTACAGCTCCCATGATTCTTTGAAGGGGGGGAGATACATGTGCTTTAAATGTACCTTGTATACTCAGCCTGATAAAGGCTAGGAGAAACTGTTAATGCCTTGTCTCCTAAGGTACATTCCTACTCTAATTTTGGAGTATTTGCTAATCAAATACAGTTGGTACCTCAGGTTACATACGCTTCAGGTTACAGACTCCACTAACCCAGAAATAGTACCTCGGGTTAAGAACTTTGCTTCAGGATGAGAACAGAAATCGCGCAGCGACAGCGGGAGGCCCCATTAGCTAAAGTGGTGCTTCAGGTTAAGAACAGTTTCAGGTTAAGAATGGACCTCCGGAATGAATTAAGTACTTAACCTGAGGTACCACTGTACCATGCCCAAGATTTATTTGCAATCATGAGGTCTAGGACCTTGGTTCTTTTTCTTTAAAAAAAAACAAACAAAAAACCAAAGCTTTGATTTTCAGGACAGATACTGAATGAGGAACCAGATTCCACGCTTGTGAACTGAGCTACATGGACTCCAGGCCAAAGCTTTACGTGCTTTTCAGTGTGTACAGAAGAGTTCCTACATGCATAGGTTTCCCTGACCACTTCAATTCTAGGGCAGCCCTGTGCAAGTACATTCACTCCTCTTCCTAATTCCCTGAATAAGGAATTTCTTGTAGGCATGGAGTCGCATGAGTTTGGGGATTAGGTAGGCTGATGCAAACCTTGGTGACCCTTAATTCTTTTCTACCAACTGTCTCTGCAATTAATTGCCTATCCAATCATCTCCAAACTTCTCGCACGATATGCCCATTTAAGCCAACAGTGACTCTGAACTATTCCTTTAATCACAGAGCTTTTGCTTCAGCAGCTTGTGGGAGTTTGGCTTGTGCAGAGATTCCCACACCATGCCTGTTATCTGCCAGCAAAAAAACTGAGCATAACTTTTGACGGGACACCATTTGCTCTCCCGTCACTCACCCGAATGTCAGGCGATGCCCTTTTTTTTCAGGAACAAAAGCTCCCGAAGGAAGGGCCAAGCCCCCTTTGTGTGGTCCGCATGTGAAACATTAAATAATTAACTACATCTAATTTGCCCGTATTCATAATGCAGCAAGGCGTCTGGAAACTGAGGCTGACTTCATCTTGGGTCATCGTCCTTACTCCTTATCAGATCTCGAGGTAAAGGAAGATTAAACTCTGTTGCACATGCACCTGGCTAAACCAGCTTATGCACATGGGAACCCACCCTTAGCTAATACAGGTGCAATCCAACTTCCTATTTAAGTGAGTCGGAGCTCCATCTTCTCTGGGAAAAGAAAGGTCTAAAAGACTGCAGTCATATAAACACGCCAAGTTACATATTTCTCCTTCCCCTGATGAGTTAACACAGTGAATGATTTTAAATGCCTCTCTGAAATGTCAAGCATGCTACTGTTCACCAAAACCACTCCAGTAGCCAGCAATATTTTTCTAAAGATATAACTGCAACGAAGCAGTGCAGCAATATTGATTCCCCACCTCTAAAGAGTATAAAACGAATCTCTCCAGTCCTGCTGATACGATATACTCAATATGAAGAAATACTATGTAATCTAAATGATCAAAACAACTATTTACTTTTGCTAAGCGGTGACGGGTGTCCGGGAACAATACAAAAACTACCGATTTGCAACATCGCGTCATCATTAATTAGATAATTAACTAGACACCTCGCAGAAACAGGGTTCACTCCCTCAGTCCCAGCTGACAGCGCAGAGCAAATTGTCACAGAAAGTTCAGCAAGGGTTTATTTGCTGGCAGTCTTCCAGAAAGAAAGAAAGAAAGAAAGAAAGAAAGAAAGAAAGAAAGAAAATATCTTTTTAAATGCAATTAGCCTGATAAGTTTTCAAGCTACAACTATGCACAGCGAAATCTTCTGCAGCTGAGAAAGATTTAAAAGAATCTGCCACCAAAATCGGACATCTCAGGATAGCGAAATTCAGTGGACGACGAGAAACAAAAGGGGGACCCATTCGTATACAATAGGGATTCTGCAATCCAAGAGAGAAATTCCTAGGCAGTGTGAGATCTACAATCCCTGTTGTCAAAGAAAATAGGTGTGGGTGTGTGCCTGCTCTGCTACAAACCCAGTGTCATATAGATATCTTGCACTGTGCTGCTCAGAAAGCACCCTCATGTTTGCACTTACCTGATTTGACTAGCATTGCTCTGTAAAGTCCCGTCGCCCCAGGTGGGATCCTCACCTGGTCTTCCATCCTCTGGCTCATTTAGGCTTTCAGATGTTGGTCGCTCTCTCTCTCTCTCTCTCCCCCTCAGCTCACTGGCACTGCCTTAAGCCTCTCCCTCTTTCCCGCACCTCGGCATGTTTCTAAGCGTGCATGACTTTTTGGCAGTATACTGCTAAGCTCTTTCACTTCTGCAAAGACCTTTTCAGAGGCAACGAGAATAAGCGGTCACGTGACCCTGCGAGCGGCTCTATAGTTGCGGCCCTCCCCTGCTGACAAGCACATTCTGCTCTAACAAAAACCATTTCCCTCAGATCCTGTAATATATTACATTACTTACTGTGCAAAAAAAGAGAAAGCACATCAGCCCACACCTCTTAAGAAGGGGGCCACTATAGACTCCCTTTTGCACTATGTTTGTTGTCCATGCTGTGAACTTTGTCAGTGCCTTCAATGCTAAAATAGAATATTTTTTGTTTATTATTTCAGGAAATACACACACACACATATTGGGAGGTGGAAAGTAAATTAGCAAGTGGGTAGCGTGGTGCAAAACAATGAGTTATAGAAGCCGGCTTTCAAGGAGCTGAGGAGTTGCTAGAATGGCAATTTAGACAGGAACGTTTGCAGCTTTCCTCCTACGCCTGGAATAGCAGGTGCCAGTGTCAGAATTAACACCCAGGTCACAGCAGCCAGAGACTGCTTTGTTCTACAGGTGCACTCTGAAGACTGTTCCTCAGGATAGAGAGAGAGAGAGAGAGAGATCAAGTTGTTGGGCAAAGCCATAGGAGCACATGAAGTTTACCTCATCCTGACTCAGGCTGCTGGCCCATCTAAGCTCACTATTGTCTACACTGAGTGACAGTGGCTCTGTAGGGCTGCAAATAGCAGGAGCCAATCTGGAGATGCTGGGGTATAAATAAATAAGGGGCATTCTGCGCGCAAAACAGGTGCTTTGGCATTGAACCGCAGTCCTTTCCAGTGTTTCTCAAACCCCCAACTGTGGTTGGACTACCACTCCCATCATCCCTAGCTAGCAGGGCCAGCAGTCAGGGATGATGGGAGTTGTAGTTCTACAACTGCTGGGGACCCAACACTGGAAGCTGATGGTTCCCTACGGTCCTCAGTCAAAATAAGCTAAGTGGTGATGAGTCCCTGTTTCTGGGTCACAGCCCGCTCACCACTGAGGTGGAGTGCTGCTAGGTGCTTAAAAGAGTTTGGGTATACACAGGACCTTAACACAATGTGACACGTGATAATTTATATTTATATGTGCAAATATATACCGTATTTTTCGCTCTATAAGACGCACCAGACCACAAGACGCACCTAGTTTTTGGAGGCGGAAAACAAGAAAAAAAATATTCTGAATCTCAGAAGCCAGAACAAGAGGGATTGCTGCACAGTGAAAGCAGGAATCCCTCTTGCTGTTCTAGCTTCTGGGATAGCTGTGCAGCCTGCATTCGCTCCATAAGACGCACACACATTTCCCCTTACTTTTTAGGAGGGAAAAGGTGAGTCTTATAGAACAAAAAATACAGTAAATGGGGGAGGGACAAACTCTGGCTGCCAAGGCTTACTGGGAATTATGTGCCGACAGAATTTTCCAGGTCTGGTGTCCTGGATTGGGCCCTCCGCCCTACCTGCAATCCTTTGGCAAGAACTGCTGCCTCATGTGCCCGTTAAAGGTAAAACAAGTGCCTCTGGGCATATTAAGAGGGCATTGTGTAGCATGTCTGGTCACCTGTAAGCAAAATCCGTTATTTATTTTTTTAAACGTCTTAACTTTTCTGGTTATTCTTTTCTGCAAGCTGCTCTGGGTACTTTATAGGAGAAGGGCAGGGTATAAATGCTAATTAACGACCAAGAACAACAACAACAGGTGAGGAAAGTGGTGGGCTGATGCTAGGTCCCAATCGCTGAGGTAATTGGGCAGGGTAGGACCTTTCCTTAGGGTTGCCATAAATCCAGGTTTCCCCGGACATGGCTTCTTTTGGGGGCCCAGGATGCCCCTCTGGGTGGATTTTTGTACCGTATTTTTCGCTCTATAAGACGCACCAGACCACAAGACGCACTTAGTTTTTGGAGGAGGAAACAAGAAAAAAAAATTCTGAATCTCAGAAGCCAGAACAGCAAGAGGGATCGCTGTGCAGTGAAAGCAGCAATCCCTCTTGCTGTTCTGGCTTCTGTGATAGCTGCGCAGCCTGCATTCGCTCCATAAGACGCACACACATTTCCCCTTACTTTTTAGGAGGGAAAAAGTGAGTCTTATAGAGCAAAAAAAACAGTAATTTACGTTAAATAACTTTTTAAATTTTGGGGGCTGCGCTAGGTCTGGTGATGACTCCGCTGGCCGCCAGGCCTTGCACGGACCTCTGGCCTCCCATCATCTGGAGACACAGTGTCTCATGAGCAGGAGGGCAAAGACAGCAAAGGTAAGAGAGGGGAGGGGAGGAGGGCGCAAGCAGGCGGACGAGGAAGGGGTCAGCGGCAGGGAGGGGGCAAGCGACGGAGATGCAGGATGGTGGGGGGTGTGCGTGCCTTAGATGTGTCCAGGATTTTGCGCTTTGGAATATGGCAACCCCGCTTTTCTGCCTTAGCTCCTGTTGGGTCACCTGTTGTACAGGGTACAAATTCCAGGTTCTTCCCAAACTTTCACCGTTTAGTAGCAATAGTAAGCAATGTAACTTACAACTAGGGATGGATTAATCAATCGATTTTGGTTTCTCTCAGTTTCCACATCCGTCTGCATTCTGTTTCTTCCTTACAGTCCATGTGAAAATTCATCAGCATCTTGTGTACACGTTTTTTGAGTGGTGTCTTTAGGATTCATGGTTTATTTATTTATATATGGTTTATATGCAACCTGAGCCTACAAAGGAGGGGCTTGTAGCATTAACACCCCAAGAAGGCTTTGTTTCTCCCATAGCCATATACGCCAGTTTGTGAGGTCACACACGTGCAATGGGTCTCCCCAATGTTGGGCGCAACCTTGTGCCTCTGGGTGCTAGCAATGACTTACATAGCCCTCTGTATCTTCCTGTGTTGCTTCTTAGCTTGAACAGTAGCTTAGCATCATGGTCTGGACCAATGACTACCCTCCGCTTAACCTGAAAAGAAGTGTGTTAACAGCTGCTGCAAAGGTGCTGCCTTGCAGAGTGGAAGTGAGATGAGCTGAATAAGGATCTTTTTATCATGTTCTCTGTTAATTTACACCTACGAGTGAAGATGACGCTTTGCAATACCTCACATGCCATGTGAATGGCCAAGGGACATTTAAAGATCAGCTCCGACACGGAAGCATCCTTCATTCCCCCTTCACTGACAAAAACATTTGGAAGCTGCAACTGGCGCCAAGTTTAGCTGCCATCGTTCTTATGAGAGTGAAGCAGTCGTTCCCCAGCTGGTGGCCTCCAGATATTGCTGGACTACAGTGTCCATCATCCATTACATTATTATTATTATTATTATTATTATTATTATTATTATTATACCCTGCCCATCTGGCTGGGTTTCCCCAGCTACTCTGGGTGGCTCCCAACCGAATATTAAAAACACAATACAGCATTAAACATTAAAAACTAGGGCTGCCTTCAGATGTTTTTTAAAAGAAAGATAGTTACTTACTGCCGTGACATCTGATGGGAGGGCATTCCACAGGGCGGGTGCCACTACCAGGAAGGCCCTCTGCATGGTTCCCTGTAACCTTACTTCTCGCAGCGAGGGAACCACCAGAAGGCCCTCGGCGCTGGACCTCAGTGCCCGGGCTGAACAATGGGGGTGGAGACACTCATTCAGGTATACTGGGCTGAGGCCATTTAGGGCTTTAAAGGTCCGCACCAACACTTTGAATTGTGCTCGGAAACGTACTGGGAGGCAATGTAGGTCTTTCAGGACCGGTGTCATATGGTCTCAGTGGCTGCTCCCAGTCACCAGTTGCAGTTTCCGAGTCACCTTCAAAGGTAGCTCCATGTAGAGCGCATTGAAGTAGTCCAAGCGGGAGATAACTAGAGAACAAACCACTCTGGCGAGTCAGTCTGTTGGTCATGTTGGCTGGGGCTGATAGGAGTTGTAGTCCAACAATTTGGGAGGGTCTTTTCCAGGGTCTTCTCTTCTCATGAGGTGGCCAAAGTATTGGAGCCTCAGCTTCACGATCTGTCCTTCCAGTGAGCACTCAGGGCTGCTTTCCTTCAGAATGGATAGGTTTGATCTTCTTGCAGTCCATGGGACTCTCAAGTGTCTCCTCCAGCACCATAATTCAAAAGCATCAATTCTTCAGCGATCAGCCTTCTTTATGGTCCAGCTCTCACTTCCATACATCACTACTGGGAAACCCATAGCTTTAAATATACAGACCTGTGTTGCCAAGGTGATGTCTCTGCTTTTTAAGATGCTGTCTAGGTTTGTCATTGCTAGTCCCAAAGCCTAGTTAGTGCTTTCCCAGCTTTGAAAAGGAGAGGTGAGGGCTCTAGGGCCTCACCAGAGCCTTGCGCCTCCTTCCCAAAGCTAGGCGCCGTGCTTAGATGGCTTTGGCAAGGCAGTTCCAGGGCTGGGGGCGGCGTGTCAAATTTTGCCCTTGTTCCCACCCACTGCACAACAAGGCAGGCTTCAGCCTGCGGGTTCTGTGTTAAAGTATTCTTGTGGCCTACTTGATATGAAAAGTTGGGCTTCCCTGTTCTAGAAAACACTGAACGCCATTTGTATTTCAAGAGGGTAGTTTTGTTTTTTTGAAAAAAGATAAAATGTGGATTGCTTACTGGGGCTTTATTGTTGTTGACATTACTTTTATGCATGTGTGCAAGCCTCATTGATCATTCCAAGAAAAGCAGAACTTGAAATGTCTTAAAATAAACAGAAGCATTTGTTGGCAGAGTGAGGTCATGATACTACAAGGTTCAAGAAACTCCCCAATGGACTTCCAGCACCAAAGCTCAACATTTAATGTTCCACAGCAAAGTCAGTAGTTGCCTATGAAGAGATGATGCCGTCTTTTCCGAGTTACCAATGTTCCATTGCCTGTTCTGACATGCAGCAGCTCCAGGGTTTCAGGCAGTTCAGAGCACCTGAGAACTTTTCCGGGGAACCTGGGTCCTTCTGCATGCAGCCAGCCTTTTCAGATAGAAAGCGAGTTTATTCTCGCGCTAATCGGCAGTGAGGCACTTCTGTATCGATCAGCTTGTTGCATCATTGGGGATTAAACCACTGCCGGCATTTCTGTGTTTGCCTCTACATTGAAAGAAACAGAAAATGAAAATGTTGCCTATCTTACATCATGGAAGACTTTGACTTTGGAAAGGCTGCTCTGCTGAGGTTGCTTGCACTCTGCTCTGAAGCCGAACACCAGAAGATTCAGTGCAGATAAAAGACAGCACATCTTCATGCACAGCACCTAGTTAAACTATGGAACTTGTTTCCACAGGAGGCAGTGATAGCCACCAACCTAAGGTAAAGGTACCCCTGACCATTAGGTCCAGTCGCGGACGACTCTGGGGTTGCGGCGCTCATCTCGCTTTATTGGCCGAGGGAGCCGGCGTACAGCTTCTGGGTCATGTGGCCAGCATGACTAAGCCGCTTCTGGCGAACCAGGGCAGCGCACAGAAACGCCGTTTACCTTCCCACTGTGTATGGATCGCTGGTATAAGAAAGGAAGGGCAAATGGGTGGGTCTCCCTCACTCGCCTGGCTGGTAGTGAGAAAGACAAAAGGCAGTGTGAGAGAGAGAGCTGAACTGGAAGCAGGCTGCAGGCAGAAGCGTGAGAAGGGAGACATGCTTGATTGTTGCTTGAATCCAAGATTGTGGCTATGGGAGAAGCAGGGCCTTCTTGGGGTGTTAATGCTGTGAGCCCCTCCACTGTAGGCTCAGGTTCTGTTATGTACTAACCTTGGATCCTAGAACAATAGGCAAGTAAGGCAAGTAAGATCCTAGAATGCAACAAACTTAAGTTAACCAGCCTATTAGGCTGGTAGGATCGTAGAATGCAACATCCGATTGGCCTGCACGAAAAGACCAATCAGGCTCCAGGAGGGAAGCAGAATCAGCCAATCGGACGGGACTCATTGTGTAAATAATGTATATAAAAGCCTGAGGTTTGGGGGGCAAATCAATCACTGTTTTACAAGCTGCAATAAAGAGCATGAAATCGCTACAGGACTCTGAGTATATTTCAGGTTTCATATAGGTATAAATAAACCAGATATTCCAAAGACACCACAGTCTCTGCTGTCCCTCATTCCAAGGAGATCGATCCCTGGGTACACGCCTGGAACCTCCGGAATCTCACACCATTCGGAGATTGAGTTCAGCATTATGTTCTCAAATCATGGCGAGGCCACTCCTAGTCAGGGTTGACAATGCTCAGCTAGATGGAACAATGGTCTGGCTCAGTATAACACTACATCCAAAGTTCTGAAGGGGGCAGGACACTTATGTGAAGAAAAAGTCTCAGAAATGTTGGCCCAGCTACAGAAGCAGTCCCCATTACCTGGGCTCGTAGTTATCTCAAACACTCACCTGAGCCATTGATAACATGATTCCCGTTTTCCTTGTGACACTTGGGCTGGAGGGAGTATTCTTTCTAGGAAAAAGGGAAAGAATTTTATTGTTTAGTTTACATTTATTTAAACCTTTGAATTGTAGCCTCCCCCTTGCATTGTTATGGTAAGAGCTTGATCCAAATGTTATAGGATGTTCTTGCTAGATCTAAGAATTTTGGGGGGATGTAATGGGGAGGTGGGGAAAGGAAAGCTACCTAAAAAACTGTATCCCCTCAAATGAGTATGCCTTGGTAGGCACACTTGGTAGGGACAAGGAATAGGGCCTTCTCGGTGGCTGCTCCCAGATTTGTAACTCCCTCCCTAGAGATGCTAGACTGGCTCCCTCCTTGTTGCCCTTGCACCAGCAGCTAAAGTTGTTCTTATTCCATCAGGCTTTTGAGAACTATCTGCTTTTAATGAAAGGACTGGTGCCATGCTGTTTTGTATGGTTTTAATATAGTTTTAATTCTATCAATGTTTAATTGTTTTTTTAATGATTGCTTTTTTGTGTTTTATTATTCTAAATCAGGCTCTAACATCTGCAGGGCCATGTAGGGCTTTACAGGGCTTTCATTCAAGTAAATCAAAAGTTGAAACCCTAATTCAGGAGTAGTAAGTATAGTGATCTCCAGCTGTTGGACTTCTGCTCTCAACAGCCCCAGCTAGCATTACTGATGCTGGCAGAGGCTGATGGGAACTGTGGTTCAACAACATCTGGAGATCACAACACTGATTACCCCTGCCCTAAGGTATACAAATAATGTATCTGCTCTGCTAAGTGTGAATTCCGAGTTGTGAATAGAAGTTATGCACCTGGGTTAAAGTGCACTAGTAAATATGTTGACTCAGAGGTTGCACTCTGGTCGGTGCGGTTTAGTCTCCTATGGGTGAGTTGAGAATCACAGCTTCATAGTGCAATCCTATGCATGTTTGCTCAGAAGTACATCTTGCAGTGTTCAACGGGGCTTGCTGCCTAGCAAGTTTGTTTAGGATTGCAGCTTTTATTTTTGCAAAAATTCCCTGGCATGGAACCAAAATATTAGGGAGAAGCTTGCAGCTGGTTTGCCATCATGTATACCGACAACAAACTCATTTCCCATGTGCCTTTCATTTTTTTTACTTAAAAGCTTTCATATACCTCTTAATTTTTTTTTTTTAAACCAAACAGCTAAGCAGTGCACAGTTTAAAACAAGCAATTTAACAGTGAAACAAAAAACAAAACTGAAAACCAGTAAAACAGCTATATAGATACACATTTGAAACATATAAAAGTCAGAGGAATCAAACACGTACAGAAACATCTAACCTTATGGGGCAGGGAAAGCCTGGGCCCAATGAGATGGCCAAAACTGCACCATCCACACACAAGGAAAGTATTTGGGAAGTAGAGAAGTCTTGGGAGGAAAGAAAATCCCAGGGGGAAACCCTCCCAACAGCCCAATGGGGAATCAGCATGTCCAGAAGTCACAGAACATGTGTGTGTCTCTGTGGAGGAAGAGGAACAGAAAACAGCAATGGCAGAATAGCGGAATGGAATGGAGTGATCTGAAAAAAGGGACTGGCTGGCTGAGAAGAAACGAACAGGCATACTCCATGCTGCAGTATTTTGTTGTAGGCCCAACTTCTTGTACTAAGAAGTCTTTGCTTAACCCAAAAGTAGTTTACTATCAAATGGAGGGCTTTCTATTTATAATGTGTGTGGTGGTGTGTGTCCCCCCCTGTAAATGTGATTATTGGGGTGTGGAGCTGGCGTGAACAATATCTGTATCTCACCAGATGTGTTGGTCACCCACAGCCCCTGTCAGTAACATGAGAAAGAGGAAGCTTTAATTCTCATCCTTCCATACACTGGATTAATTCTACTTATTTACACGGGATAACCACTTCAAAGCGAGGAATGTTACCTCGACCTGTTTAACCTTGAGCAGAGAGTTTAACAGGGGTGGGTTTCCACATCAAAAACCAGTTTTTTTCCCAGAAGTTGTGCGAGCTAAGACCCCAATTTGGCACCTAAATTAGGAAAATAATCCCAACCTATGCTCTTAAAGGCTTCTGCACAAAAAGCCTTTGTGTTTCTTCAGGGCTCCCTGAAGGTTACTGTGTGTCAGCGCTGCTGGTTGCTAGGTGATATTTATCTGGTGCTGCTCCTTCGGACAATGCTTTTCATAGTCAGAGGACTTCTCCTTCCTGCGATAGTACTTGAGACTGGGATTCTTGCACTTGATATCTTGAGACGCTGTAACATGAATACTGCTTGGTCCCAAGATGGCAGCAGCAGCAACCTTGGCCAAACTCCCCTCCCCCCTTTCTCCTTGCTGATTTGCCAGGCATGGAACGTTCCATAAAAGTTTCTTTTCAAATCGGAGGAATTATGCAAGCTAACGTCACAGGCGCAGAGTGCTCTTCTTATCTGGTGATACGAAGGGAACTCATAGGTAACTTCCGCGTGAGGGAACACACACCGGAAAGGCAGTGTGGTGCATTGGTTAAGAGCAGGGGTAGGCAACCTAAGGCCTGTGGGCTGGATCACCTCCTCAATCTGGCCCACGGATGGTCCGGGAATCAGCATGTTTTTACATGAGTAGAATGTGTCCTTTTATTTAAAATGCATCTCTGGGTTATTTGTGGGGCCTCCCTGGTGTTTTTACATGAGTAGAATGTGTCCTTTTATTTAAAATGCATCTCTGGGTTATTTGTAGGGCATAGGAATTCGTTCAATTTCCCCCCCAAAATATAGTCTGGTCCACCACATGGCCTGAGGGACGGTGGACCGGCCCATGGCTGAAAAAGGTTGCTGACCCCTGCTTAAGAGTGTCAGACTGGGACCTGGGTTCAAATCCCCACTCAGGGACCTTGTGCCAATCACTCTCTCTTAGCCAAACCTACCTCACGCAGGGTTGTTTTGAGGACAAAATGGGGGGAGAGAACCATTTACACTACCCTGAGCTCCTTGGAGGACAAATGTGGTGTTATAAATGTGATAAGCAAAATGGGTAGGCCTGGTCCTCGACAGTTGCGGAGCTCTGCAAGACAGTTCCTAGCTTGTTTCAACACTCGACCGCCTCCTCTCTCCCTCTTTATTCCCCCCCTCACTGCTCCTTCAAGCCTGAGGCCTCTCCTTCTGAGGCTGGATTAAGTACGGCTGGAACTAACTGCACGGCCTGGGAATAAACCCCCTGCCCACCGGAAACACCTGTAAAAGGAACTAGAAAGCAGAGGTTGGCATTTGGGTGATGCTCACTTATGCACTGCCATAAAATAACTCTTTTTTCTGATGCTTCGCTAAAAACTGAGAGCCCCAATTTGCATAAATCCTGTGTGTGTGCTAGTATAGAAGTAAATGTAGAAATTATTACTATAATTCAAATCGAAATACAATGCATCTCACCATAGTGGGGAAGACTATAAGTAGGTGACTGCACTGTCCGCTGTCCAGGTGCTAAGTGATGATTGGTTGCTTCAGCATCTGTCTTCCTTCTTATGGTCCTTTGATTGATATTTGGACTAGACAGACCTTCAAATAGAGGACCCCCCTCTCTAGCATAGGCTCACGGCCATCCTAGGTTGGACGCTCTTGCTCTTGCATTATATTCCACTGTTCTTATGAGGAACTTAAGGTCCATTCTTTTTAATCTAGTATTTTTCATGGTTGAGGGGAGGTTTCAACTTGGGCTCCCCATTCCTAGTCCAACACTCTAACCACTATGCTACCTTGTCTCTATATAAGGTATAATCCTGAATCTGCCCAGATTGTTTTTTCCATGGCTTTGCCTTGCTCCTGCCTCTTCTGTGAGCTCCTTCCTGATCCTGCAATTCCTTTGTGTCTTTACTTGCTCCCTGCCTGTTTGCTTCTACTTAGTTAGTTAAAACATTCCTATCCAATCCCTCTCAATTCAAAATTTCCAGGGTCAGTAACTATTTTCTTTGCCAGAGTGGCATTTTGAGAAGGAGGTGAAAACTGATGGGCCAACACCCCCCAAGTCTCACTCACTCCTGAGGAGTTTATTATCTACTCTCCTCCTGACGGTCCCAGGAAGGAAGCACATGTGCATCAAAAGGAAAAAAAAAATTAAAAATGCAAAATTAAGCGAGTACCATTGTAAAAATCTGCAATGAAACAGCAGATTATTAAAACACCATGAAGCAACTGCATCAGAAGTAGTGGTTAAGGACGGTGGACTCGTAATCTGGTGAACCGGGTTCAATTCCCCCCTCCTCCACATGCAGCTGCTGGGTGACCTTGGGCCAGTCACACTTCTCTGAAGTCCCTCAGCCTCACTCACCTCACAGAGTGTTTGTTGTGGGGGAGGAAGGGAAAGGAGAATGTTAGCCGCTTTGAGACTCCTTCGGGTAGTGATAAAGCGGGATATCAAATCCAAACTCTTCAAACAAGACGCTTTCATTCCATCCATGCACATGAACCCTCCCCAAAAGCCTGGGCAGAAAGGTGTGTCCTCACTTGTAGGTGAAGCAGAAGCAGTGTTGTGGTAAGACACATCTCAGAAGGGAGGTCATTCCATTGCTACACTGCCTCTACTTCAATATCCCCTCTTTTGTTTTTAATGACATCCAGTGCGTTTTTTCTGGGGGTACGCATGCCCCTAAACATTTTATGAATCTAAGTTTGGCTTCATTGAGGGGCAGTATTTCAATATGAGTAGGAAAATGAGAATACTCCTAAACATTTAATTTTTGTAAGGAAAAACAGCACTGATGATAGCAACTGGAGTGGATGCAGCAACACTTAGTGGGTAGGAGGTGGATTTGTCCCCAAGGTCTCCTAGTTACTGACTATGGATATTTGTGATATAAAAAACGAACACCAAATATTGTGACAAAGCAGATGCACGCTTTCCCTTTGTTCAGACTTTTTCTTTTTGCCCGCAAGTAGAATGCAGGGTCTCACTTAGCTCGTCAAATAATGCTTGTTGGCTAAAAGGCACACTGCGTACTGCTTCTGTCCCTGTTTGTATCTATATTAAATATCTCAGCACAATGAGAACAGCTGCTTCCGTGGAGG